GGGCGGGAAATAACAAATAGAAGACCATGGCACCGTTGACGCCAGCTAGCCTCGTATGGTATATCGATCCGGGATAGGGAACCCGTGACTTTGCTGGCGAAATTTCTTTGGCTCTAGGCGGCATGACTGATATCATTCGAAGGCCAGCCGGGCCACAAACACGATCCGCGATCATCTGTCATACTGCTTGCCATCGACCTTGGGCTCCAAGATGCATTCCTCGTCCTGACGTTATGGTAGAAAGATGAAGACAAGGTTGGGCATCGAATCTGAGGGCCATCGTCATTTCCATGATTAAGACGGTTTGGGTTGGGTTGGGAGCTTTGGACGGTTCGTCTGGGTATGTGTGTGTGTGTGTGTGTGGATGGGTGGGCACCTCTTTGGGCTAGGCCAGACGGTAAATGTGTACTATGTAGCTCGGATTAAACGGTGACAGCTCACTACAGTTTCTGCCGTAACTTCTACAGTGATGGCATCCTTTAGCGCTTGCTGATGCTGGGAACTTCCCCGTACAACATGGACATCTCCCGAGACGCCTTACCTAAGCAGGATGAAGAGGAAGGACCTTGGCAGGTTTAGTTGGAAGGGAAGGAACGAAGGAGGGACGGAGCACGGGGCTTCAAGTACCCGCCAGGCCCACTTTTATCACAAACGGTTGTCAAACAAAGTGTTCGTTCACCGCCAGATGTTTGCCGGGCCTGCCTTGCTCTCTCTATTTACGGTTGTCAATCGTGACTGCTGTGGGGGGCTGCGGCCCGGCTGTGCTTCATGTGTCATCAATACATAGCTATCCGTAGTAGAAGACCTTGCTTGGCCTGGGCATTACCTCAGCAACGGCTGATGGATGCGTTAGAAATCATGTTTCCGTGCTGCCAAATATGGCTTTGCTTCCTCGGAGGGAGCGAATGGTGACAAGAGCATGACTGATGATCTCAAAATAAGCGACATCGAGAAACACGGAAGGGAAGGGGACAAGATGTCAGACATTTACTGATTCAACACAAATCGCGTCCCGAACTCATCCGACCTGATCATCGCCCTTGCCGGAATAAACACCGCCCGCTGTTCGTGGACGATGGACGATGGAATACACTATGAACTAGGCTCTTCAGCTAAGCTCTTAGGCCACTGTTAGACTCGGACAGAAGAGCACGGCGAGCATGGCTACTGCATGCCCGACACCCTATAGAGCGTGTAGTACTCTCTGTAAGGTACTTGCGGTACGGTATAGTATATGTGCTAAGCTCAGGAGATTTGCGCCATGCTCGGGAAACGGAACACTCAGCTATTGGCATGGATGGCACCAATACTCCGTGAATGTCCCAGGTTATTGATTAAAAGGCCGATAAACGCTTTCAGGGGATGTATTCAGGGGGGAACAGTGCTAGCCAGTATACACTGTTGCCACTGAAGAAAAAAAAATTAAGACGAACAGCAGGCTGTGCTTCAAGGGGAGGCACAAGAGGGCGAGTGACGTGGCACATCTGTATACAGTACCTTTTTATTAGTCTTAAACGCAGTGTATGTTCGGGTACTACTAACTTCATATACGAGCCACACCTGCCACCAATTGTCCTCGGCCACACATTCAGACTCTCTCTTTCCCTTTCTGTGCAGGTGTTTGCTGCTGCCCAATTGGCTGCCCTTGCCTTTGCCATCAAATCGACGTTGCCATTTGCCCCTCCATCTGGGATTTTACAGCGCAGCTTCTCGCGGGTAATGTACGGAGACAAATCACCCATTCAACATTTTTCATTTGGCCCCCTCCAATGGACCTTGCAAGAAGACCCTTATTTGCCCCTTTGAGAAGAAGAAAAAAAAAAAAAAAACCTCGTTTTTCGTACTGACCGAATCCCCGTCATGCCCGGAGGGAAAAGGGGTAAGCGAGGGTGATTCAGCTTGATTCATTCAGCATCATATTCGCCCCATAACCAGATGATTCTTCCAGCCATTGAGTCGGGGCGCAGCAACAAAGTCGTCGTCGCCAGCGTCGTCGTCCTTCTCGTCTTGGACAAGACCATGACTCTTCTTCCCGCCGGAGTCCTCCTGAGCGGATAGTATAGACAGAAAGATACACACCCGAAATACACGGGTCCTGTGAAGACCCTGGTATGGCGCCCCGCGGACACGAAGTTGTACATCTCGTACTCCAAATAGCGCAAAAGACACAAGGCGGTACCTCGTTGCTCGGGCGCCTCTACAAGCCCCCGCAGGTCCGCCTTCACCGTATGCCTATCCGCGACCGCCGCGAGGGATCAGATGGGTCTACGGCAGAAGCCCATGTGCCGTCCCTGTCGCTCATCCCCAGAAGTGTCTCCCACTCCGACCTTCCAAGCAAAGGAGAAGAGACGAGACCGAACAAGAGTCTCCCCGACAACGCCGGGCTTTGTCAGTAAAGGGCATGAGAGAGAGGGCCCTCCCCAGAAAAAAAGACCCTGGGTCCCAGGGGTCTCGCATACGTCAGGCCTCGGGGCGTCTTACCTCAGCTCCGCCGCAGGTTCAGTCATTTGCTGTCTAATCCGCTGCCCGCTCGCTGCAGCAAGCCACAGTAACCTGCTGTACTGCGCTCCTTTGGGCCATGCCGGATGTACCTCCCACCCGTGGGTCGGATGGCCAGACGTCGAGACAGGGAATGTCCGAATCGGTGGAAGCGGAGAGAAAGGCACAGACGGTCGCCGTTGGCGCCAGACACGCGGGACGGACACTGAGCAAGGACGATACACCGATGACAAGACGGGTGCGACGGTGTAATGCCAGACCGACTTGTCCAAGATAAGAATAGGTGGTTGAACAGACTGGAGCGAGCTGCCAAAAATCCAAAAATCCAGATGATGTCTGAGGATTCCCAAGTCTAAACCAAAGGTCTAAACTAAACCATCTGGGCAAAGTCGCTCCGCCAGTCTCGCAGTCAAAAACTCCACACGTTACGAATACAGCAAATCCAAGTCGACAGATACGGATACAGAATCGAGTTAAAGCTAAGGCTAAGGCTACCCGCTGGCCATCACATCACGCTCATCAGCCCCTCCAGCCCCCCCATCGGAACGACTCGTCGACAAGACGTGGGATCCCTTTCTAAACCCCGTCATCATCAGCCAAGGAAGAAACCGTCTCACCAGGTTGCAAGCCCCCGCCACTCCCGTTTAGACTGCCAAACAGTGCCCATCAGCAACCAAGTCTCTTTATTTTCTTCTCCGACTACGACAGCCCTGGAGAATAGCCCCATCGCGCTGACCACAACATCCTGAAAGAGGGGAGAGCTAGTCGCGGCATATTCAGTTAGTTGCCTCCATTGTACTCCAAAGAGGGCTGTCTAGGGAGAAGACTCACAACTCAGACGACACAGATTTTCATTTCTCGCTCTCGCCTTGACCTTTGGGCAGCAGTGGAACGTGAGGGTCTTAACGGAGGTACAAAGTGCAGAGCTGAAGCACCTATCCCCTTCCTAGACTTAGGACGTACAGGTGTTCCACCACTCACTGGCCAGTGACCACTGAGTCCTGACCATTCATCACCAAACCCGACCACCCATCATCCGTTCTGTCGAAACGGTCTAGAAGAGAAACCTCAAGGCCCACTGGATTCCGTTTGGCCAGTTTTGCGCTTGACTCTGTCACCAGCTCTGAGCCCTGACTGGTCATTGATCCGCTGCAGACCTTGTTTCGTCCAACCAGCATCATCAGCCCCAGCCCCCCCAGCTATAGGGTCCCCCCATCTCCCTCCTTCGACTCCTCACTCCTCCGATCAAAGAAGCCCGTGACGTCTTAGTCCCCGTTGTCAAGTGGTACGTATCACCAAAGAGCAGAAGCAACAGGCTGGCCCAGCCCAAAAAGCACCGACCACACACTCTTTTGCCCTCTCCCTCAGCAGCCAACCAAGCAGGGCAACCCACGCCGCTTGGCCAAGCCCAAAAGCCAGTCCGCCGCAGCCATCACCCACGCCCATACGCCAGCCAGCCAGGCCAGTCCGTCCGTTTACGTCCGTCAGTCCAGTATAGGTATACAACCAAGGTATCCAGGTATATCGGTATACTCTGGTATAACTGACCAGGCCCCACGACCCACGCCCACGGCCCACGGCCCACAACGCCCCCCCGGGCTCCACGCTGCTTGCTGTTCGCTCCACCCGTGGCCCTGTCTGCACACGGTCTTCTGCCATAACCAAGGGCATCAATCAATCAACTCACTGCTGCGCTGCTGTAACTTCGCCTGCGCCTGCACTGCACCTGCACCGCTTGCTCTCTCATTATTAGTCGACGGCCTACGGCTTCAATTCGAGTCGCTCCATTCTCCCCCCTCTTCTCTCTCTATCGCTTCTCGCGAGCATCACATCAACCCACCACCAAACAACAACTCCACCTTTTCCCTCTCTGGCCGCTCGTTGTCGAGGGGAATTCGCTGCAGCTGGCCCTCCAAAGAGACCTGAGTAACGACCCACGATCGTCGCTCCAACAGCTTGCCCAGCTCTTCCTTTTTCTCTTTGCCATCTCGCCTTTTCGCCTCTCTCACTTGATCTACACACTATATCGCCTTACCTACTTACTACCTTGCTTGGCCTTATCTTACTTACAACCACCACATACTTTACTCTCTTTGCCTTTTACCTCGACACCGTAACATTACTTCGCGCAGCTTCACTTCACGCTACATACTACCTCTTTACTACCTTACTTCCTTGTTCGCTACCTCCACATTCCATCCCTCGGATTCCAACGCACCAGGCACCGCCGCCTCCAATTCCACAGCAACGCCCACCGTTCCTGCAGTCCCAGCAACCCGCCCCCAGCCTCGAGTGCCTAATCACAAACCGCCTCAATGCAACAATAGCCTCGTCGTGCGCCCAGATATCGACACTGCGAGCGACACCTCTCAATAATCAACACCAACCCACGGACCGGCTTTCGTTTTGACTCGACCTTCCATTTCGGACACCGTCGAGCTGGATTCCCGAGCCCCTCAAACCCCACCGCCACCAATACACCAACACTCGCCCTGCCCAATATGACTGCGTTGCCTCCGGATCCGTACAGGATATTAGGCGTCTCCAAGGATGCGCAACTCAACGAGATTCGAGCTGCCCACCGCAAGCTCGTCCTCAAGTGCCACCCCGACAAGGTCCAGGACCCGACCCTCAAGGCTGCCAAGCAGGACGAGTTCCAAAAGGTACAGCAGGCCTATGAGCTGCTGAGTGACGATAACGAGCGAGCCAAGTATGACGACAACGTCAAGCTGGCCGAGCTCCGAAAGGAGATGGCCGCCAAAGGCATGTCGGCCAACACATCGGCCCCACGCACCCCCTCTGCGAGAACCTACGACGTCAACATCCGCACCGCCGAACCCCGTGCAGACACCTTCAAGACGACGCCGACGTACCGGTCTTCCCCCGGTACTAAGATGTACTCCCAGTACCCGTCAAGGTCTTGGGACGAGGAAATCCACCGCTCGAGTCCCATCTTCGAGGAGCCCCGGGCTCGACGGGCCGCAAGTTACGAGAAGCCATCTCGTCAAGAAGAGGACAGGGACCGCGAGCGCGAACGTAGACGCAGGAAAGAGGAAGACAGAGAAAGAGAACGTGAAGAGGCCATCCGTGCAGATCGCCGGGAGAGAGAGCGCATAGCTATAGAAAGGGAGCGTATTGCAGAGAAGAAAGCCGCCGATAAGGCGGCAGAGAAGGCTGCAAGGAAGGCGGCTGAGAAGGCCGCGGAAGAGAAGGAAATCCGCCGCCGAGAGCGCAAGGCCTTTGAGAAGGCCGAGAAGGAGCGCGAGAAGGAGCGGAAACTCGCTGCCGAAGACAAGTCTCGGAGGCACAAGACTGCTGCCGCATATGTCGAACCCTACGGCGACGACGAGACTTACCTTGCCAAGACCGACAAGAAGAAGTCAAGCAGCTCCAAGAAGTCCAAGGACGAGGACAAGCGATCTCGCTCCATCCCGCGAGAGGCTACCCGCGAGGAGGTTCCCCCGCCACCGACGCCTGCTATCCCAGTTGACCTCACCAAGTTGAAGTACGCCGAGACCATGCTTTCTGCTGCCTCATACATGGACAAGGCCCGCAAAGGGGCACCAGGTTTAAGTCGCGCGCAGACATTTGCAGAGGGTAGTCGGTTTGAGCCGCCCGTTGCGGCTCCGACACCTCCTGCCGCAGCACCATTTGCGCCGCCTCCTCCCCCACCTCCTGTGCCTACGGCCGACGAAGACGTTCGCCGATCAAAGTCCAGACGCTCGTCCGAGACCAAGCGTGAGAAGTCGAGTCACAAGAAGTCACCCACCAAGGACCAGCCGTCCCCCTACGTCGTCGACGCCTCGCCTACCGCCCGCGCGATGCCCCAGTTCGCCTCGGCGCACTCATCTCCCGTCGGTGCTGGCTCACCACCCAAGCACCTGGGCCGGTCAAGCACCTTCAACGACGGATATGTCCGCCCGCCTCCGGGACCCGCAAGGGCTCAGACTTTCCACTATGGTATCGAGACCGACTCGCGCGGCCGCAACCGCTCAAGACTCCAGCCGCAAGTCAGCGAAGACTCGGACTCTGAAGACGATCCCCGACCCCCTCGCAGGAGTCACCGACACAAGGTTGAGGAGGCTATCCCTCTCGACTACAACCAGCCGCGCTCGACTCGGTATGCTGTCTCGGGTACCCGAACCATCCCGGTCGAATCGGGGCACTCTTCGTATTACCGCGACGAGTCTCCGACTAGGAAAGTGTACTACATGGATCGTCCTCCCATCGGCCGTGAATCCAGCAACTACTCAAGTAGTGGCTTCGGTTCCAAGGTCAAGACCTCCAGAGGCTACACCCACGAGGATGTTCAGTACAGCAACATCCCTCACAGGTACCGGGACCCCGAATACGCGTACTAGCGACCATGGCCTGAGAGGTGCCTCGACTTTTCACCCCACAACACCGCCGTCTCCGCGAGGAGGACGATCGTCCCGCAGGAATGCGTTGATGGCGATGACACCTCCTGCGTGTCCTGGACGGCCGGTCACCATTTCCACTTTTTTATTTTTCTTTTATTTTATCTCGGGTTCTTCTTCTCTGGTTTCGTGCTGGTATGAGGAGACGACATTAAAGACGCAAATACATACAGTAACGAGTACCGACCTGTCTTATTTTGATATCAAATCTTGGGAGGGCTGTTGAAGGGCCCATACTATGGCGCTTGGGAGGGCATGAGGAACGAAGGCCGCATTGGCATATCGGCTGTTGATAAGCATTATGGAGCGAGACGTGCTGGACGGTTGGCGGCTGGCCTGGAGGGAACGGAAGAATCGTGGTAGTTGGCGGGGACAAAGGAATCTTGTCGAGTCGTCTCGGGTTGTCATGTGCCTCGCCGCGAGGCAGCCCAGGAGGCGACATCCGACCCGCCGCCGCCTCGTTATCTGACCACGCCTGACCGCCCGACAAACGCCAACCGCCCATGCCACGGGGACTATTTGGGATGTCCTGGGTTTCTCACAGATGTTGTACGCTGGAGTCTGACGATACACATACATATGCATGCATTGGGATGGCGACAAACTATTTCTTATGAGTTTTTTTTTTACTACTCTCATCGGGTTTATCTAACGAAGCTAAAGATTTATTCCTATCATCTATCACACTTTATCTGCTGTCATTCGCTTTTTTGGAGTTGCGGAGGGAAAGATACCACGCTCTTTTTGGTGCAAAGTTGCGAGGGAGATGTGGGTGAAAAGAAAGAAGGAGATGGGAGAGTATTATACCGAAATAACCCTGGTCCGATACCTTGGGGCGTAAAATATGGCCTGAATCGAAGGCCGAGATTATTATTTTTTTCCTAGCTAGAAGTCAATGGACATTCTTGCATGCTTGTCAACAACCATCGATTGAAGCTGAAGCTGAATCCATTGTGACTGCGAAGTCTGCGTGGTCGTGCTTACTTTGGGTTGAGTTGTTGGTTGTGGTGATGGTAAGTAATGTGTCTACGGGTTGATGGGGTATGTTGATTAACCACCATAGCATCGACGAGAATACAAGAAACTCGACACAGAGTTGCTGCTCAGTCTGGGTTTCTCTTATTCTCTACTCGTATTTTTTCTTTTCTTTTTTTTTTTTCTGCTCTTTCTGACTTTAATGCTTGGTTGAAGTTTTTCGTCGGACGATTGTCGAAGTAACGTTGCAAGGTTGGTAATAGTTGTCAACTGAGAAGTCTACGAGCTGCTTGCTTCGTCTTGCGTTTCGTGACGTAGTGCAGGGTAATACTGGTTATGGATGTTGACGTCTTTGCGTGTTTTCTATAGTAGTATTGACGACAATTGATGCGTGAATATGGGCTGCTTTTATATTAACCCTGTTTGGTTCAAGGTAAGTAGACATGATTGTTACGGTGTTTGTGGTTTACGGTGGGTGATTATGTTATGCGATCTGGCTTAGGTTGATAAGATGCGTCGTGATATCGTGGTGAGCTCTTGTAGTTGTGGTTTTGATATTCATCTTACCGCGAGGGTGAGTCGACTGTATATGCTCTCTATGAACTAAGAGATAGGTAGTCTAGTGGCCGCGGCGTGGAGACGTTCTCCTAAAATATAAGCATATGGGCGGAAAAAAAGGATGACCGTGGTTGTTTTGAAGAATTGAAAACCCTACGCTGCATCTGTATCCTCTTGATAAATTAAATCGACTTGAAGATGTTATCTCCTGGACTCGCCATTGAACAAACTGGCAAGTTGTAAGCTTCAGGTCGGCGGGATCACCGCTGTTAATGAGTATACAATCCATCTATATGTATATATTTGTAGTCATGATTTCGACTCTTTGCCACCTGGATCATTCCGGTGTACAATGACAACGCGGTGCCGCATTTTTCCAAGTCAGATAGACAAAGTCAAATGGACATCAAATATTCACATACATTTTTTGATGACTCGCAAAATAGAGACAAAACAATATGACAGAATGGTATCATTTCGGTCGTCCATGCCTCTATCTCATTGCCAGGATGTATTCCTCATTTGCAATGAGGCTATAGGACACTAGACAGACAGACAGTTGCGTGTAGACTTCAAAAGTGGCGTAGTACCGGAATGGAACAGAGTCACAGAGTCGTAACTCGGGCGCCGCGTATTCGTCGCGTGTGATGTTGGTATTACCCTTCAAGCAAAGTGCAACGTCGATGCCCTCGTCAAAGACGACATCAGTCCGGTCGACAAAACGCCGACTCCCCCAGCCAAGCGGCGTCTCGTTAGACAACCATACATGGATAAAGAGCGCGGATGACGGCAGCCTCTGGCTCCCGTGACGGTACCTGATATTCAACAACGCAGTGACGGAGCGGAGCGGATCCATGATGAACTGCATGCCGAAAGGGGCACGAGATATTGCGGGGTATATAAAAAGACCTATCCTATCTACAAACGCCAATAATGAACGCAGTCCGGGGGTCGCCGCCCCACGGAGCAGATGCAGTAATGATACAGAGTGGTTCAAAATGTGTACACGGCCCGAGGACATCCCAGCCGCTTGCGGCCTCGGATCTGCTTGCCCCTGGCAGAATGATGCGACATTGTGATGCAAAATAAAGTACCGTTGGAAAAAAAAGAAACAATGCAGTCAATGTCGCCGGCTCGCTTAGACCAAGACGTAAAGCGCGCAAATCTGAAGACGGTTAGCTTGTGTCATGAGGGTAAAGACGGCAGAGGCACACGTACGAGACTCAGTCCCATAATCATGGAACACCAGAAGCAGACGTTGTTAAGCGTCTTCTTCCCGCGGACCCACTTCGTACGCTGCAGCACGACGATGGGCAGCTGCAGCATCTGGCAAACGAAACCGTAGCCGCGGAGCTTCTTCGTGATGCAGGCCATGACAATCTCGTGGCCGATGGCGGAGATGAGGAAGGTGATGACGGTCGCGGGGAAGCGGCCGATGTGCGGGCGACTCGCGCTGTAGACGTGACGGCGAAGGAAGCTGTAGACGGGAATGTTCCACTCGCGTGAGAACTCCATCCAGTCGGTCGAGTTCCACCAGTCCGAGTAGAAGTGGCGATCAGCGAAGTGGGTGATTTCCGCAAAGGCGCCCAGGGCGTACTCGAAGATGACGAGGAAGACAAGGAGGAAAGTGAGCATAAAAGGGAAGAGGAGCCAGGAGATGCTTTCGGCAAGGATGAGGAGGGCCTCGGAAACGGGGGGAGCAGGCGTCGCGTTGAGACGGAGCGAGGCGTCGGTGAGAATCGGCAGGATGAACTCCTCCGAGATGACGGTCAGCAGGGAGATGCAGCCAAACACGGCGATGACTTTGGAGATGAGGTTTTGCCAGTCGATACGGGCTGTGCGAGGGTACTCAAGCTCGTAGCATAGGGTCGGGCAGAGAAGGTAGTCAAAGTAGTTGGACCATGTTAGGTTGCGGGGGTACGCGATGTTGCCCATGGGCGAGGTGAGTTCCTGAGCGAGGTCCTCGCGGAGCTGATCAATCTCGTCCGAGGTGGAGTCGTCGTCGGAGGCGCCGGCTTTTTGATCGCGGTTCTTCGGGCTGCTCACAGTCCCCATGGGGTTATCGGGGGTAGGATACAGGTAGACGGGGTCCTTGGAGGCCGTCGAGGGGTTATCGAGGTCGCGAAGGCGCTTCTCCGTCTCGCTCAGGTGTCCGTTGTAGAAAGCCCAGCTGTGCGTCTTCATAAGCAGAACCATGGTGTGCAGGAGCAAGAACACATGCGCGGTCCATGTCCAGTCGAGCACGAACGGTACGGCGATCCAGAAGGCAAGCCAGACAACCTGGTAAATGCTCTGGACGGCCATACCACCGTTCTTCCATGTAAAAGCGCCGTTGGCGGGGGCGGCGCGCCAGATGTGGTGGAGGGGCAGAGACACCAAGGTACTGGCGACCATGAGGAAGTCGGCGATGGCCAGGTGCCAGACCTTGATTGTGAAGAGGGTCCAGATCTGCACGCGCATGGGATAGCCCGTGTCTTTGATGTTGCGCAGCATTGTTGTGATGGCCATAATGGCAAGACCTATCCAGAAGAGGTTGAAGAAGCCATGAAAGTCGCGGTAGTCAGAGTTCGGATCGAAGTGGGAGACACGGCTGGCAAATTCGATCGTAGGGAAGATGCGACGGCGCTGCTCAGCGCGAGCCTGCTTTCGCGCCGAGGACATGGACTTGACTGAGGGGAGGGCATCGTGGGGTACGGGTGTTGAGCGACCGCTGTGACAATAATGTTAGTAGGATGACTTTGAGAGGATTGGGAAGACTGGGAAGACAGAGATACAACGACATACCTCGTCGTGCCGCTCGTCTGGCCCGTCTCAGACAGAGGAGTCAAGCCATTTGCCTCGCCGACGGAAGTGTTGCTCATGGTCCTCGTCAGCTGCGAATGCTGTGGTTTCCTCGGCCTCGGGCGCAGAACATGGTCGTGGGTACCGCCGTTGGGCGCAGCAGCAGTTGACGCCATGATGTCCAACGTTTGACGTTTCTCAGGTCGTAGGAGCTGTTGACGGAGCTCGCGCCGGTCGGCAGTCGTTGATCGGGAGGCTTGTGTAGTGAAGGCTTGTTGACGCCGGCCCGATGTGGTGGAAATGGGATTGTGGTTGCAGTCGCAGTTGGGGTCTAGTTCAAATATGCAATGCTCTCTTTTAGAGAAGCGATGATGCAAGCGGCGGACGTTCGGCAGACGGGGGGTTAATCGGATCCGGTAACAGAGTCTCGGTACTCTTTAATTCTTTGGATTCGGATTTGTCTTTTTTCTTCCCTTGTCAGGAGAGAGAGAGAGAGAAAAGGAGATGGTCTCAGGGTCGTAATTCAGGGGTCTCCATTTCCTCGGGTAGAGTCCGCGTATCTGAGGAGAGTTTCCCGTATCTCCAGCTCGGTCGTGTTCAGTCCAGTTTTTGAAGCAAGGAGCTCGGCATCTTCCTCCACTTTCTGCAGGTCGATGTTCGGGGTTGGGGGCGCATTGAGGTCAGCGCTTACACTCAGCACAATTACCGTTTCTCGGTACGGAGTATTACTGCTGGACCTACTGGACCTGCTGGACCTGCAATTACGCCCGCCCACCTGCTCCTGCCACTACCACTGCTGCCCTGCTGCTCCAGCTGCTCCTGCTGCAACCACTAAGGTAATTACTGTCCTTGGGGCCACGTTTACGTCATCCCCACGTGATGACCGGGGTCACGGGCATGAATGGGGCATCGCCATCTCAACACCAATCAGACCCCTCCATATTTTCCATTTATGACCAATGATGTCCTTTTTCATTCCCGTGATGTCCTCCTAGTGGACACCGCCTGGTTGTCGGCGATCTTGACAGGGGCGGGGGAGATGCCCGAAGACCCTTTTTGGCTCCGCGGATTCCTGGAAAAAGACATCTATCAACGTCACCTCCACCTGATTTGGATAAGTCTCCCCCAATACCCGCCATCATAAACCCCATCTAGAAACCGTTGACATGCGCCGAGACGTGGTATCTGGAGTGCAATCTGACATCTTTAGTCGCCCGTCTATCTAGAAGGCCTCATAACCCTTTGGTTCACCGTCCGTCGTAAGGAAAGTCTTCCTGTTATGGTTCTGCATAGCCGGGCAAAAGCAACACATTCTTACCACGGGCTGGGATGTCTTCGTAAGGCTAAGGGTCATCGAACTGTAATATCACCACCTTGAAGTTGGTGCCTGGCACCGCCCTCATCCTCACTGGATGCGGCGCCGATCAATGCCGGCGGTCTGAGCTAGCGTTGCCGTCAGCATCCAAATTTGAGCACTGCGTAACGATGTCATCCTCTTCCGGAACCATCGTATGCCCTATTTGGTCATCCTGCTGCTCTCAACTAACCTTGGGCGCCTCCTCATCTGCCGGTCAAGGTGGCTTGACAACGTCTGCTCGGCATTGCACTGCCATTCACGTGGGATAAAACTCCCATCAAATATGTTCCGCCGGCTCATATAGGTAGTTCAGCCCTAAAGGCGGCAGAATTACTAGCCCAACGGCTAAGCCATCCGGGTTTGCTGACTTTAGCCTGCTCCGAGACAACGCTGTTGGGGATGCGTCAAGCGATTAGGCATGTGCCTGTGCCTATTAGGATAGAGGCGTTACTCTGCTGCTCTGCATGGTGGCTTGTCTTTTTCTGTTGAATGATTATCTCTAGATGCTCGTAAGGCAAACATCAGCAGCACAAGTTGCAGAATGATTTCGAGTGGCACAGATGGGATACTGATGTTGTTCCCATAACTGAGGTGCAACACGAGCTCCCTACCTGACTTCACAATTCCTGGGCTACTCATCTGGCGTGACTCAATACGAAGTGAGACTACAAGACTCATGCTGAAGTGTAATCCCAACTGGTTTTCATTGAGGTGGGATATACGATGTATGATCATGTTATGGAGGGGATAGACCCTCATGGAGAACCACGTCAACTGCCAAGCATAGATTCAAGAATTAGGAGTACCCTAAGAGCCGATCTAGCTCGGAGGTTTCATGTTGGTACTTTTGCCAAACTTGAAGATATCTTGGCCATCAGACACAGTCACTGCAGGGGTCAAGCTAGCATAGGCATTGAGCAGGGCCAACGGTAGTCGAAGATAGTGAGGCACGGCCAGAAACGCGACGACAGAGAACTCATCTGTACGTTTCGTTTCCGTATCGATCACAGTTTGTTTTCCTATGATGGTATTAGACCCTTTGGTGTCGGCTGCCTTGATCCTTCCTTGAGGCGAAGACGTGGTTTGGCCAGACTCGTGCAATTGGTTCCGGTATAACATCACAAAGACATAAGAAACTTGTGGTCCTAAAGAGGCTTTCGACCTCGGCGCGCTTTTTGGTCATCAGGGCAACGCTCAACTATTCATAATGACAGCCGTGTTCGCATGTTTTGAACGTCGTGTCCCTATCAGTCTGATTCGATGCGTTAGCTTCCAGAGCTGCTGCCTCAACTATCGCAAATGGTTTCTGACACCTACCTTATTGACAGTTGCTTAACTTCAATGACTCTTGCTATATATGTCTTGTTGTTTAGCGGTCATTATGAGAAACTCCTGCGGTAGACAGTGAGACTAGAAAACACACGAACGATCCGATGGACAGGGGAACCCATGAAGATTTTATAAGAAAGCTCTAACAACATCATTTCTAAATCAGAATGAGAGTATCTCATTAGAATTCCCATAGAAACATGATCCCAAAAAGCCTTGTTTCGCTTGTCACTGGAGTAGATACGACTATCGGCTCCATTTGAAGATTGTTAGAGCAAGAACTGGCGATACGCATGATATGTTGTTCATGTCTGCGATTTATATCACCTGACTAGCGACTATAGACATAATTTCAGTCAAATAGTTATCACTTCCAGTGTAAGGCACTTAAAAGTTTCTGTCTAGAAGCATGTATAAGTTGAGCATTCGCGAAGAGGTAGGAGCCAATATCCACGACACCAGCTCCACAACCAGAAGAAATCCTGAGTTCAAGGAAGACAAGATCCTGAAGGAGTCCCAAAATATGGCATTTGCAGCCCTATTTATCATTTGAGGAAGAATGACTGCCCTGTTCACAACCATGATTGACCTTTAAAAACTGGCCGCCTTGGGACCAAGCCTTACCCTCCTGTTCCGACTAGAACTTCAGGTCTTGTCTAATCGTGGGGCGTGATACATGAATGGGTAACGGATCTTCCGCCCCTACCTTTCCTCCATTTTAGTTGCTAACTTGATTTGCTGTATGACGATGGATGACACTCTTCCAACTAGAGACCTTCAGACATTCCCGAAGCCTCGAGCCTTGGGAGTGGACGGCTTCCTTTCATTACAACAAAGACAACTTAGAAGACACGGTGGACGCATTACTTAAGATTTCGATATAACTGCAATAAAACGAAGCTTTAAAGTCCTCCGTAATCTGCTTTGAACGAGGGACTGAATATATTTCAGCATCTCTACATTAAAGACGTAGCCTACCTAATATCTGATACCTGGGCTTCAGAATCAAGTTTGTTCGGTCACTTCTAGGCGTTCTAGAAGCATGTTAGGTGATCAGATTACTAAAAAAAGCCTTGCAAAGGCACGATTGAACATGTATGTTGCAATACTTCCAGCGTCAGGCTAAGAGCCTCGCATTTTCTGATGAGTTCTCTAGGAGCTACAATGAGCAATGTGCTTCCATTCAAACCACAAATCGAACTGATCCAGAAACATCTGGCTAGACGAACACACCTGGTAGCCAAAGAGTCCCTTTTGTGATGAGGAAGCATCTCCCTCAAAGGGTTGCCCACCCCTTTCCCAACACCGACATCATGGGTTAGAACTGGAAGCACCATGAAAAGAGGTACAATGAAACACAATAGCTCTGAATGACCTATGAACCACAACAGTACCTAAGTGCTTTGAATGAAGAACATGCCAGCCCGAGTATTCCCGGTCTTCAACATCATGATTTGCTACGACAATTCTTACGCACAAGGGCGACTGCCATCACCCCCTTTGCTGGGAACCCCCGCCGACATCCTGTCAGAGGTGCTGTCTTTGATCCAGATGGCGTCAATATTATTGACTCGACTCTAGACATCGAGATGCGCCCGGCTAAAAGTGCCTCGTAACTCGTCAGCCCTGCCAAAACAGGATACCTGATTTATACCAACCACCTGGAAGGACGTGGGGGCCACCCCTCAGTGGGCTGTTGCCCAATTTGCCCGGTTTCCTGGTTTTAGAGGAAGGAGTATTGCAAAGCGGAAACCACGGCACGTACCTCCCTGATGTCGAGGAATACCTTCCAAGGAAGCGGCATCCATTCTCACATCTCCAACCCCATCACTCTTGCTGTCACTTCTTTGCCATCTCCATCTTCACTGCCGTGGCCAACAAACATGTCATCATTGCATTCATCGCTGACAGTGTCTTACAGCAACTCCCGTCACACGGCTGCTTATCAGAGTCTCTATGAGAAGAAGCACACAGGGACCCCCGTACCGCCCCTTGCCAGCTTGGCCTGTTGGTTCAACTTCCGTGTCCATCGATTGGGTACTTGGGATGAGGAGCGCCCGCCGGCATCTACAAATCTGGGCATCCAGTACCTAAGACACCTCGGAAGGCGTGGGAAACTCCATCAGAGACAACACAATCACCTGAGTTAGGCGTTAAGACAGCCTTAAATGACACCTTTACCTGTGTTCTGTAAGCGAACGGGTCCTGGGTCTTGCGCATCAGTCATCACCGGAAGTCCGCCTTTACTGCGCTGGTCATGCCTCCATCGCCGTTGTCTGCACACCTTTCGGGGCAAAGCACCCAATTCGGCTTATTAGGCCTTCGAGGCTGGAGATCAACGAAGTCCGTCACTCATCACCTGACGGATCGTTCTAACAAGTGACAATACGGGTACTAACCGCACCAAGCATCGCCGGCCACGCCCATGCATTCTACATCTCGTTCGTAGAGCCTCTACTGATTGGTAGTCATCTCAGCCCTCATCTCTTATCAGACAATGTCCTGCTCGAGGCCAAATACCAATGGTCGATTTTCTCGACGTTGACTGCAGCTACGCAGTGCCCCAGTCTGCATGTACGAGCACTAGCACTCCTCTATGTTATTCCGACTGTCTGAAAGACTGCCACATCTGCTCTCACACAGGTTTGCCATATAACAAACTACCAATACCGTCCATCATTTGTCACCCTCTGCAAACATAGGCAACATGTTTTTGACAAGCGAGCCAGAGCTCTGGATTGCAACCGAGCTTGGGGAAGGCTAGGATCGGCAGTCTACTGACACCCGTGCATACCCGATGTCATTGGTGCTAGAAACGCAGAAACGCGACTGCGTGCCTCCCCGGCCTAGTCTGGTCGCCCATATTCCGCGCTGACACTACTGACGTTTTTGGCCTCGTTCGGCGCTCGCTCGCCTGCTCAGTATTTTTCGCCTTGTTTCCGACGGACGTCACGGGCAGTCTCGGTGAGGCTGGAGTGCCTACTAACCGAGCGGTTAGCATAGGTCTTTGCAATGGCGGGAGTTTGGCCGAAAGTCCCTTTTCTACCTTCCCGAAGGAGCAAAAGCGGAACTCTATCGTATCTTATCATCAAAAACCACTTCAAGGATGCGGAAAGCCTACCGACGTCGTCGTTGACAGTGACCTGACTTTATCAAGATATAGGAGAGATATTCTGCTTCAGCCCGCAGCGTGCCTTGAGCTGATTCGGCATTTGTTATGGAGAGATAACCAGATAGTACTCTTCTCAGCGTGTGGCTGTCGCATCGGATCCCTAGCGTTCTTGTCCCAATCGGCTAGATGAACGTCATCGGAAGTTTAGAGCTCACCCTCGACGCGGTATATTGCATTGAACACAGTCAATCCCATTTGCTCCCTCTCTGAGAACCATCCCATTATTGTGGGAGACACGGACTACTTCCAGGCGATCACTAGCGCGCTCAGAAGCACCCAGCTCCAGTGTCCTGGAAAATGGGTCTTAGCCGATCTTGTACGAGGCGCAACGTGAGCACGTCTTCATGGTCTACAGGTAACACTTCGTATACGTTATACGGTTGAAATGTAGGTCCTCGCTAGCAATCACTTGACAGCATCCCATTCATCGCCTCAGGCACTACAAAGGTTAGACAGAACAAGCCACTTTGTCATTACAACAATTTACGAAAGTTTACTTTGCAGGATAGCGACTATATTTACCTTTCCCTACTTCTGAAGCCTGGGGAAAATGACCTCACCGAGTGTATTGATCATAATGCGCGGTCACTCGAACTAACGCCTATTGATAAAAGGTAATCACAAAGTATACTGAAGTGACTAAAGAACTTTCCAGCAAAGTTAGCATAGAGCAATCCTCGAGAACAAGCACGGCATTCAATGAGCTGGATGCAGAAGCCGGTATTCGCCATGGAACCGACCCTAATATCAAATCAATAAATATACCACGAAACCAAATCACCAACGGAAAATACCCTGAGGCTCAACGGCTGCAAAAGCAAGGGTAGTTCTCAGGTAACGACGTGTGACATGAGATGCTACGTGGGCACAGCTTCAGCGCTTTGAAGTCAATCGGTGTCTTGTCTGCTCGGGGTTTGAAAGTCTGGAAGCAGTCCCCACGTTAAAATCAGAACATGATTGCCTATTTCCAAGCATGCAGTCTTATTCGACCGGCTTTTATCTGCTGCTTCACGGTGCCCATTGCCCCGGTTCCCCCTCCGAGGTCGTAATCAATGGTTTGGTTGGAGCGCCCTGGCGGAGAAACTCATGTCAGCTCAACTCATTTTAGGTTGACAAGGTACCCGTCGCGGGCTATCGTGCTCGTGAGACGCCCCGCAGGGACTTCCTTGGCTGGTTGGATATTGGTGTCGAAAATTCGAGAAGTATGGTCGACACCCGGCACTTAGCTTCATTGGGACATTTTAGCATCTTATGTGCAACTTCGGGTGGTATCCGTCATGGGGGCATTTTCAGCTGCATGCTGAGATGCTGCAGATATACATAAGACTGCGTGCTGCAACTATTACCATACCGCCGTTTTCAGCGGGTTTTGTGCCCTATAGAGATGGAGAACGCACTACATCAACATGAAAAGGGCGAGCCCGGGCACGCTTTCTGCCTCTGATCCTTGAAGTCAGCTTTTGGCCACACCTCGGCCTGACAGGACAGCACGGACAAAGCGCTGGGTTGTGCAACCGGCCGAAAGCCTGTACCGTGGTAGACCAATGCCCCGCGAGCCCACTAAAACTATCCAATGCCGTGACAATTTTGCATAGTGGCTGGCATTTCGAGTTTGAATCGTGGCGCCTTAAGACAGATCCCCTTTGTCTCGCGGCCAGTCCGCGGGAATCGCCCCCAAGCCCTGCGTGCTTGGCCCGGGGTTGCTTCCTTCTATTGGAAGTGCTGGACGGCACACCCGCGATCGTAAACTTCTAGGGGGCACTCAAAAGGCTAGTCTGAACGGCGTTTACTCGGATGTGTCTCTGACAGCATCACGGTCATTGGCCGTGCTCACAAAGTGTGGCTTATCGGATGGCACCAAGGCGGCTTGGTGGAAAGCCGTTGGAACATGCACCAAGCTTCTACGGCGTTAGCTTTCCGCTGGTGGCAGCTCCCCCAGCTTTCTCTCTTTTTGCCCCCTCCCTCCGGAAGGCTGACCAAGCCGGGCTGGTTGCTTGGCTAACCTAGGGCCGAAGGCGAGAGCGAGAAGCCATCACTCGACCGCGACGCTCGGCGGATAGCGACGTCTTTGACGCTTAGGAGCGATGTGGATTAAGGGACAATGTCGGAAGGCTGTCCGGCCGCAAGCCAGAGCTAGTTGGTGACAGTGTCCGCGACTCTCACCGTGACTTTTCCGAAAGGGGGGAGGGCCTAGCTGATAGAGACACTCTCAAGCAGGCATTATGATTGGTGGTCTGAGTCAGAACTTGGTCTCTGGCGTCTTTTAGGCCGGCCGGGTCACTTTCACACCTTCTTAATTCAGAACAGTGGTGGCACCATTATCGCGATTCCCCGCCTCCTGGCCACCCTGGAAATTGGAATTGCTCGCCTGCTTTGTGTGTGTCTGCTGCTGTGCATACAGAGTAGCACACTTCAACCAAATTCTCACAGCCCTACCGCAGCATGTTGACATGCCTACCCATCGCCTATGGAACACACATTGGACGAGATCCTGGGGCCTCCTTGACATTGAACCCGGAGACCAGAGGGCTGGACGTAGTAGGGCGAGGCGGCCTTACCCACTGAAGCCAAACCAAAGGATGAACCAGCCGCTTCGCCCCAAGCTTCGATAGCAAAACCGACGTCCCCCTTGTCCCCCTCCCCCATCCGAACAGATTGATGGCCCCCCCAAATCTCGTCTTGCTCTACTCTTCTCGGTCAAATTGCCAGCCAGCGCCCGCTCCGAACAGCGAGAGCCGTCGTGAATGGTCTCCCGATTCGTTTAGCAGACGCCCGGACTGCCATCCAACTAGAACTCCATTGGTCATGTAACGCTTCTCCCCCCTCCCTTCTCGCACGCAGCTCCACGGACCCAGCTATTGCTCTACAGTTAGAGGCCCTCTTATCACTGAGGAAGAGCACCCCGAGGGGACGGGATACGGGCTTGTTCTACCCATGTGCCACCACGCTCGCTTTCCCTGTTAAGGAAATTACGCGAAGGAACTTTTGCCTGCAGCTTTCACCACACGGGGGAACTTGGCAACCACCGACCAATACCAGCCTCAAGCGGAAAGTGGTCTTCGTCGAGAGAGAGCCCTACCATAACGACTTGCGACGCTACTGCTTTTGAATTTGGAGGAACAGACAGGTTCCCCCATCCCCATATTCCTCCTTCTCGCTTTGCAGGAGGATAACGTTGCCTGCCATCCGCCCAGTCTTGCTCTGACCGTTCCAGTTCAGCCCAGCGTCCCCATCGCATATTCCCCCCAGCGGTTTTTGTCCCTGTCCCTGTCCGAACCAGACCACTTACTGCCAGTCCTACCGTCCTGTCAGTCCCTCAGTCGGTCCTCACTCAATCTTTTCGACACTGGACAATGACGCTTTCTCCTCTGCCGCTCTATTTTTAACCTGGGCAGCCTGAGAGACCTTTCTCTTTTATGTGGCGACGATCATGGGCACTTTTGTTTGGTCTCCTCCCACGTTCTTGTCTTTCATTTGAAGACCCGGTGGCCCCCCCTCCATCTGTCTGACGGCAATTGATGCTTGCCTTGCCACCAGGGCAACGCGCGCTGGGCTTCTTGGATGAATCGCATTCGACGACACGAGGCACCTGTCCTACCGAGGAGCTTTGACTCGTCCGAGCCTTGAGACTCATCCAGCCTGCGGTCCGAACCTCTGCTCCATCGGGGGTTGGGACGCGGCCGAGATGTTCAATCAATCCGGGGACAAGCCCCGTGGTGTTGTTCCCTCTGGTTCAGGATACGGAGGCGGTCAGCATGGCCTCACTCTCAACACATCCGGTCAACCATATCCCAGGTTTGGCATGCCGCAAGGCATCGGTGGTTCTTCAACATGTCCGCCACAGCAACAACAACAACAACAACACCAACATCAACATCACCAGCAGCAGCAGCAGCAGCAGCAGCAGCAGAGGGATTTCAGCTCGTCCATGGAATGGATGTCACATGGCCCGCAGCAGACGCGCTTCAACGTTGTCTCCTCTATGAACCATGCGCCGCAACAACAGCAGCAACAGGACGACGAAATGGAGCTGAATGAAATGAGCTCAGCTAGACCTGGGGTGTCGAATTTGATCGCCCGTTTTGAAGGCATTCGCGCTGCACCGCCGACAAGTAGCAGAGTCATGAGTCCTATGAGTTCTGTAGCAAGCCCGACAATCACCAGCCCATCATCGGCACATTTTGGCAGCATGCACAGCAGTTCAGCGACTATGAGTGCGTCTGGCATGAGTAGAATCACTAGTCCCGTTCCCAACAGCCCGGCAACACCCAATTATTTTCGTGCCCCGGAATCATATCGCCCACCTGTGCCCAGGAGTACCAAACCCGTGCTGGATCGCGCGCCGTCTAATATCCCGCTATATACACCAGATCAAAGATTTGGTGATGGGAGCAGTCGTGCTACTCCCTCAAATATTGCCTCTCCTCTACAGCCTCAACCTCTTTCCCAACCCCAGCCTCTCGCATTCAGCCCACAGCAAAACACCTTCAGTCCGGCATCGAATGCTTTCAGCCCTCCGCAAAATACCTTTAGTCCTCCTCCGAATACCGTCAGCCCGCCTCCCGCGTCTTTTAGTCCAGCACCGTTCAGCCCTGCACCGACACCTTTTAGCCCGGCGACTTCCGCCTTCAGCCCGGCACCCACACCAGCCCCGAGTCTTATTCCTATAACCCCAAGTGGAATGCAAACGCCATTTGGCCCTCCCCCTCCCACATCTTTCCCGGTATGTGCCAACACGGCATCAAAAAGCTTATTTTCTAACGCCTTGCAGGGCCAAGCTCGACCGCCCAGTGTTGCACCTACACCAAAGCCTGCAACGGGCAGTAGACCGTCGCGCGAGCAGGTACCTGCAGAGGCATGGGAGTCTTTTAGGCTCACCATCAAGCAACTGTACCTGGAGGAACGGCGGCCCCTGAAAGAAGTCATGCAGATTATGGCCGAGCAGTATGGCTTCCAAGCAACGTAGGTACCCGCAGCCTTGGCATATGGACAAAACAATCTCACAGTCGCAGGCCCAAGATGTATAAGACGAGGTTCTCCCAGTGGGGGTTTGTCAAAAATAACACCGAAGATGAGGTCAAGCGACTTTTGTCGATGAAGTTTCAACGCGATGCCGAGGGCAAGGTTTCCGAATTTGTTCGAAACGGCAGGGTAGTCAACCTGGGCACGTATCTCAAGAGGAAAGGAGTAACGGAATACGATCTCGTCGACTTTGAAACACCGGCTCAACTTCCGTCGTATGTGCGATGCCGTACCCCGACACCGCCACCCGCTCCGGGTTATCTGCGATCACCAGACCTGCTCCGAGCGCAGGAGACAGTTGTTGGAAACATGAGGAAGGCTTTTTTGCACTGTCGGCAATTCGAGGTAGAAACTGATCGGCAAATCGGATGGACATCGATCATGCTTTGGGGTGCCGGATCGAGCGACATGTTTGCCGACGCTAACAAGAAGTTCGAAATGGGTGAGCACGACGCAGGTGGGCACTTGTTAATGAGGGCGTTCAAGAGGTTGGAAATGGACCTCAAGCAACTATCACCGCAAGGTATCAAAGAGCTACTCTTAGGAATGGTGCATCGCGACGCCGGCATGATGACTGCACTCTGCAAGTACTTGGCAGCATATTCAACAACGAACTTTGAACGATCGCACCCACTACGACAGACTTTCTCGACCTTGTACGAAGTGCAGCAGAAACACGGCCCGATTACGCTCTCAGAACTTGTCTGGGGCTGCATACCGACAATTGCCGAAGAACTCGAAGCCATATATGGTCGACGACACCCTTATGTGGCTAGAACATGGATCGACCTGGCCATCTTTTATAACCACGCCAACCCCGAGAGACTCGAAAAGCTGCTTACAGAACTTCAACCGATGCGGAGACAGATAGCGGGACGTTACGGACAGAACAGCGCAGAGGATCTGTGTCTCCGATACGCCATCGTACAGTTGTTGCAGGCAGCTTGGCCGAACGGCGACACGACTCGTCTGGAAGCGTTGGACCTGTGGAATGCGATGAAGAACGCCGGTCTCGTTTTTCCCGTCCGAGGAGCGGAGCACAACACGTTCTGCTACCACAGCCCTGTAAAGATCGATCCTTGGGAAAGACGTTGCAGAGACCGGTATAACGTTGGCGTCCAGTTCTTTCAGCAGCACTGCGGCATCAAGGTGTTGCCGTACTTTGAGGAGGACATGCACTACACAGAGCACGCCCCTGATTCGAACGCCGCGCTCGCAGCAGCTCTGGGACATGTGGCGCCCTCCAAATTCTCGCTCATCTAAATGGAATGTGATATGCCGATTCGACGACTAGCGCGAATTTATAGGCACCCACGGCCAGCTAACCTCTTCCACCTTTTCCACGAGACGGCAAAACGAGCGAGGAAATACCAACGAGACGAGTCACGGACGAGTGACAATTTTTTTTTTTTTTAAACAATTCCAACTCTTATTAATTCAACAAGAATATACTACGATGCGACGGCCGCAAAACGCCACATGGAGCAGGCGGAAGAATGCGGGTGGCCCTGGTCGACAGGATGGGAAATCAATGATACCCCAAGCAGAGAAAGGGGATGAGATGGGATTAGGGAAATATTTGGAGTCTTTTTTGGTTTCAGGGCATAACGTCATGAATATCTATCTCATGGCCGGCGTCTGGGGTTTCCAATTCCAACACAACAGCGAGCACACGTTTTTTTAACTGGAATGACATTGTACAATAGCTTTGATCGACTGCGAAGGAGAGAATGAACCGATACCACGATACGCAAGATATGGAGGGGGGGGGAGAGGGGGGGCCGAGTGGAGGGGACTAGGCAAAGCAGAGGAGCGAGCAGACCAATTGGAGAGAGATGAAACGATCTGACCAAAAGTTGAGACCTACGAAAGATGCCCGCGATATGATGGACGATGGAGAAGATGAAAGTGGGATGAAGGGCGAGGGATGAGTGGAGAGGACGAGCAACGCCAAACCGAATGTGATGGGATGAGAAACCGACCAACCGAACCGAATATCCTGATCAGGCCGATCTGCACACTCTGGGCCCCGGGCATGACGGATATGGAGGAGTCGGGAGGCCCTGTACATGACGCGATAAGAAGAATTCCCACTTGGGCTCAACAGGGGCCCTCGCTTTTTCTCATCTGTACTATGTAAAGCCGCTCCGTATAGTTCCCAGGTGCCATGCGACTGGATGCATGCGACAAGCAGCAAACGTGCAGATGCGGCGCGAATGGGGGTGGGTATACTTGGGGTGTCATTTTGTCGGTTGACGCGACGGAACCAGAGGGGAGGGGGGGGGCCCACGTTCAGCGTCTTTTCTGCCGCTTGTCTCTCGCTTGTGTCTTGGCTCTGGGTTCATTTTCGTGGGTATGATTCCTTCGGCTCCGGAATTCCGGACTCAGAGGGGAGGGGCCGGGCGACCATATCGTTCTCTACACATATATATATCCATGGGGCTTGAAGTTTGGTGATGGGTGAAACTGGCTGTTATCCTGCCTCACCCTGACGCCTTTATTCCCGTTCCAACGGTCGCCAAGGGCGGGGGATCGGATGGGGATGAAGATCGGTCAAGCGTCGACCGCGCCCTGTGTGCTCCCAGCCATTGAAGGAAGAAGGGTTCAGCTCCAATTGCTACTCCACTGAGGGGGGGGTTTGGTAGAATACCTCCACAATTGAACACAAAGAAAGAAAGAAAAGAAAAAAAAGAAACAATGGAACCCCGATCAAACCAAAAGTGACCATGCCAAAACAGACAGACCACCCCCTGGTATAAACGGATAAGAAGTCTTGTTTGGCCTTGAATAATGACGTTGAAATGTGCCGCAAAGAGCTCTACTGACATGTGTGTGTATTTGGTTTCTCTCATTGTCCGTCATCTTATTCTCGCCTACGGCTATATCATCCCGAGTATGCGGCAGCCAGGGGGACCCCGATTCCTCTTACGCACTGGAATATTCTGATTCGCGACTGTAGGCGCAATGAAGAGACGACAGCACTGGCGTTAGACGAGCCTGGGATGACGAGCTTCGACGTTGACCGAATAGGGGTGTTTTGCTCGCTACCGAATATCGCGCAGTTATGCGACGGCGTCGGGTACCGAGCGAGTTCGGATTGTCTTTTTTTTTTTTTTCCCCTCCCAAATTCCAGCTTCCATCTCCTTTGGCTTTATACATTACACAACGTTTTCATTGCGACTTATTATTGTTATTATTGTTATTTTTCTCACCCCTTTCCCTTACCCCTTGGTTATCGATAATTTCTTATCGCGCCATGTGCATTTTTTCTGTGGCCGAGACCAAGGGGGGTCTCGACCAGGCCCATTGTCAGTGCTGTTTACTAGTATTACCAGGACCAGGTCTCTTAAAGTCTTCTTAACAAGGAAAAAAGAAAAAAAAAAAAAACCCCTCTCACCGAGATAATATCCACAGGGGCGCAAGGAGACGGGGACGAGTGAAGTGCAATGAAACCAGTTCCTGGACCGTTTCCTTTAACAGATTGGCATGCATTTGGCACTTCCACGGAGTAACAGAAAAAGGGCCAACGGTAGCGGTTTTTTCTTTATTTTACAAAGGAGAGGAACTGAAACAAATACACTCCCGTTGCGGCGTGGTTTCCCGCGTCGTTATTAGTCGTCTCTGAGAGCTGAAAGCCCCAACCTGTTGATGCATCTGGAAAAGTCGGTGGTTGAGGCTGGATCTCGGCGCCGCTAGTCGGGCTGAAATGCTTGGGAGGTCGCCGAATTGGGCAACTGAGAGAGAGAGAAAAAGGAAAGAAAAGAAAGAGAAAAAAAAAAAAAATGAAGGGTTTTCTCCTGGGAGCATTGATTTTAAGGTTTTGCCTTGAAAGAGGGTGATCAACGGGGAGTTTGGTTTGATGTTCGCGAGGTGTTTGGTTTCCATGTGTGCGACCGAATACTTGGGTCTTGGACCCAGGTGTTTGGGTCTTTGAACATGACTGCCAGATCTCTTTTATTATGAAGATGGATGTTTTTATCAAAGGAAAAGTATCTCATCCTTTGTTTGGACTTTGTTGGTGTTCTCATTTCAGGCTTGCCGTTACCTGCAACATGCGAGACTTTGGAGAGTACTATCAACATGGATTCCTCTGATATGAGGTTCATCTACACCGCGCATGATATGACAGCGACAGGGCCCAATATACAGTTCTCCGAAGGGTTGCAGGTTTAGTCTCTATAGACCTTTCAACTAACGACTGTCACCGCCTCCGCCACCGCAATTGTTGTCAAGCCTCTCCCAATGTTAGGTTCTCAGCCACGCCATCCAGTACTGGCAGGGGGGTCAGACCTCCAACCCCCCCCAAAGATCAATCTCGTTCTCTGCCTTGCGAACGTGTCTAAGATTCATCGTTGGAAAACAACCCCTTGTTAAGTTGCTGTCGATAGAAACCTCACCGCTCAAGCCTTTATGCCACTCACGAGCCACGACGATTGCGGTGAAAGGGCTTGCGTGTGTATCAGAAGACAAGATGTTTCAGGGACAATGGAGAGAGAAAACCAAAACAAGGACCCTTGACTGGATGCGTTCGAAATCCCACGTGGATAGTTACCCATCACGAGAATACGAAGAAGGGCTGCTTTCGGACCTGAGTCATTCCTTCGCTAGAGCCCGTCCAATGGTCTGGGGACCATTGCGCTTGTTGCTTCCAAGGTTCTCTTAGACGAAGCATTCAGCCTTGGGGGAAAAAAAAACAAAGTCTGCCTTTTGACAAGAGACTAAGGAAACCACTTAAACCGTGTAGGCGGGTTCAGCCGCATCTCGTCGTGCCTCGACGATTTCCGTTTTCGGAAAATTCCCGACGCGCAGAGGTGCGCTCACGCACCCACTCAGATGCGCTGGCATTTTGTGGCGTACTTGTAAGCCGCGAAAAAAGGCAGACGGCGCCGTCATCGCCTGAAGCCACTGTTACATCCCGCTTTGCGGAATTTGCCCCGGACGACGGCGGTTATGGCTTTGAGGCGTGTGTCGTGATGGTTGCGATGGCGCTTGTTCCAAAGAGGGGCAAAGTATGTGGCCGGTTGATATAATACCTAGCCACTTGTGCCTGTGGTCTGCTGCCTTCGTAATGGTTTCGTTCTTGTCGGGTTTTAAAGATATTCATTCGCTTTGGAGTCTTGCTGTGTTTCGCTTTGCGATCGTGTTAGAGATCTTTCCATCGTCATTGTGGTCATTTGACCTCTTGGTTCCTCTCGTTTAGCCGTATGTTTGGATGGCCTGAGTAGGCCGGTTGCTATCATGAGGTTCGGCAAGAGGGAGAGCTCGCCGCAACGATATGAGGCCATCGATGCTTCGAGTATGTATAGTTATTTTGGCATCACAGATATCTTGTTGAGACTAAGAAACGGTTCACTAACGTTGATTATAGGAGCTGCGGATACGCAGAAGAAACCCTTCCTCGCAAGGCTCTACGGCCTCGTCGCTCTTTTGGCCGTCACACTGGGCTTCATAGGGTTGGTGATATGGATGAAAAAGTCGATGCCAGAGGGTTCCGAATCAAAGTACTCTATTCCCGGTTCTGCTGAGGTGACGAAGGCTTTTAAGAGGGATGTCAGTGAACAGTGGGAAAATGAGATCAAGAGAGCCAAAAGAATTGCGACGGAAGAAGCGATTACGTGGGATTGGCGGAGAGAAATTCACAAGAGACAGGTGACTCCCATCTGCGAGACCATGATCCTTGTTGATAGCCCCGACCCTGAGGCGAGGGTGTTTTGTTATACCCCCGTTCCTCCTTCTCCCACCTCCTTTCCGCCATTTAGCCCTCCGCCGTTCACGACTACGACGGCATTCATCTCCCCACCTACGCTCTCACCAATATTTCTCCCCTCTTCTTCTTCGCCAATCTTCGAGTCACCGACGCCATCGATAAGCCCTTCTCCGACTTTTGTGACTCCGACGTCGACAAGTACACCGATTTTCGTATGTACTACGCCGTCGAGTTCCGTATTCACTACACCTTCACCGAGCATTACATCTACTACACCTTCGCCGAGTTTCGTGTGTACTACACCATCGTCGAGTGTCTCGCCAACTACCTCCAGCTCAAGAAGTAGCAGTCCACCACCCATCAGCAGCAGTAGCTCGTCGTCGTCTATTGTCCTATCTAGCAGCTCATCTTCAAGCATTCCGCCAAGTAGTACACCGCCCTTCAGTACTTCATCGAGTATCATCTCTTCAAGTACACCTATCATTAGTTCTAGCAGCACTCCCGACGTCATTTCAAGTACTTCTTCTGAGAGCTCTAGTATCGTGGTCTCTTCAAGTTCCTCTGAAATACTTTCAGAGAGCAGCTCGAGTGTCATTATCAGCAGTTCCAGTTCAGAGATTATATTTAGCGACTCATCTACTCAGCTGCCCTCTGAATCAAGCACTCAAACGCCAGCTGTCACTTCGGAATCAAGCAGCATCCCGCCTACCGTAACGTCGGTATCATCCAGTCAGCCGCCTGTTACCACAACACCGACGTCGTCTCGCAGTGCTACCTCTGCTACTACTCCATCGGTTTCTCCTTCACCTTCGGTGACCCCGTCTGTGTCTAGGCCTAGCCAATCTACCACTCAGATTCTATCCCCGAGTGTGTCTCGAAGCGTCACTTCAGGGAGCCCGTCTGTATCCCAACCGACAGTATCGTCTCCCACTATTATCCCTTCCATCAGCCTATTGTCCGGCTCGCAAACACCCCAGACGAGCCCTACTCAAAGCACGATTCCAACATCGGGAACTCCTAGTATCTCGAGCCCTGCGGCTTCGGAAACCCCGTTATCCAACATACTGTCCCCCACCGTTTCGCCATCTGGCTCACCTACTGTGAGTCCTAGTATCTCTGGGACTCCTTTGACTCAGTCTCCAGGCTCTACCCAGTCTCCAGGCTCTTCTCAGTCTCCGGGCTCTACCCAACCAACTGCATCCATACCATCAGCGTCCATTTCAAGTGGAAGTGTTCCCTTTGCGTCCAACACTCCTCAGTCGGCAACCACTGGGCCTTCCGAGACCCCTTCCGCGCTTTCGGCCACTGAAACACCAACGGCCAGTCCTACGGGGTCCGAGACTGTTCAGAGTGTGCCATCTGCGACCAACTCTGCCTCTGGGAGTATCACAGCACTCTCTGCCCTTTCGGAGTCAACGCCTGCGACTGCCTCAAACACGGTGTCACCCCTCAGTCAGGAATCGGCGTCGAATTCTGTCACTCAAGCTTCTGCTTCCAACTCAGCTACACCGCTGCAGAGCCAAAGTGATACTCAGACTCCCGCTACATCAGCATCTCCCAGCGCAAACACTCTTGAGACGCCGTCACAATCTCTGTCTTCGAATCCCACACAAACTAACCCTTCTGCGTCTGCTACGAATCCTACAGCGACCCCTCCCTCTGCTAGCGCTCCATCAGCAACAAACACACAGTCTGCCTCAGCAACAGCGTCGGCGACAGCGTCAGCTACTCAAAGCGCCTCCATCTCCGCGAGCGCCACAGAGTCCACCGCGTCAGCTTCAGAGTCGGCTACCGCTTCCGCTTCGGAATCAGCCCCAGTTCGCGCCGCGGAAACCCCGACGGAAACAACGTCTGAAAACAAGCCAACAGACACAGTAGCTCCCCCGGTCCCCGACACAAACCAAGTCACAGTCCAACAGGCGGTCGTGGCAAACTTTGTCCCAATCATCCTCAGCCGAGCCTTCGTCTTCGCGCTTAACACCGCATACACCCCTATCGCCGCCTTTGAGCCTATACGTCAGCTTATGACTGATGGAGGAGCCTCAGGCGCAGCGCTTGCCGGCTCTGCCATCAGTCTCGCTCCCATTGCCGCTAGCTTTTTTATCGCCGACATTGGCAGCGCGGTGTCTGTCGAAGCAGTAACCCCCGACGCGTGGTGGTGCGACGCACCAGTCACACCTACAAACCTCACGCCCTGTCCTCCCCGTCTCAGCGTTAACACCTGGGCGATAAGCATAATGACAGCCGGCCTGGCCACCGTCGCATTGTCTCTTATCTTTATCATCGGACTCTGGTTCAAGACACCCTCCCGCATCAGTGTCGATACAACAACCATCTCCGGCGTCGCTACGGTCATGGGCCACCCGCAAGTCGAGCGGGACTTCGGTGCCATCCCATCCAACATGACGCACACGCAGCTCGCAGTCCATCTCAAAGACAAGAGATTCACGCTCGGCACCTTCCTCTCCTCTCGTGGCGAGGAGTTTGGTCTCGTTCCCATTCTATCCAGGGCGAACCAGGCCCCCTCCCTCATTCAACGCCTCGAGTCCAGCGCCGTCGAGAAGAAGGCCAACCTCACGCCAGCGGCCCCATGGACACGCATCCGCTTTGTCATCGACCTCCTCTTCGTCGGCTTCCACGTCGGGCTGCTGGCTTTCGCCATCGCGGCCCTAGCAAACGTGAATCACCCCCGCCGCATGTTCTCTTACACCACTCGCGCACAGACAATCGGCGTGCGTATAGGAATCAGCCTCATAGGCATCTTCATGGCCAAGTACTGGACTCTCGTGTTCGCCGACGCGCAGAACTTTTCGCCGTACAGCCGTATGCACGCCAAGCCATCCCGTGCCAAAGACACGATTCTGAGGAAGAGCTTCGCCGTCCCTCTGTTCGCCATCATCCCCTTTGCGAAGATGGGATACATCATCCCCGCCGCCATAGCCTTTGCCGCTCTCATGGCCGAATTCTTCGTCGTGGTCATTAGCGGTCTCCCCTGGCGACCTGGCCAGCTCCGCGGGGAGTACATCTTCTGCAGCGTCATGTGCTTGTTCATGACGATCTCTATGCTCATCGTCCAGGGGCTGGTATTTTACTGGCGCGCGAACTTGCCCCCGCTACCTCGTAGACCGGACTCCGTCGCTGCGGTCATGACGTACGTCGCTGATACGTCCATGAGTCGCGACTTTGATACCGTGGCGGGCATGGAGAAGAAGGTCGCCCGCAAAACGATCAAAGATATGGGCAAGATGTACGGGTATGGTTTGAGGGTCGAAGAGGATGGGAGACAGAGATGGGTTGTTGATGAGGTTGCGACGGGTTATGAGGGCTCTAGACAGCGGAGTCCCGAGCATGTGGCATAATTGGCATTATGTATGATTTGTTTATTGTTACATATTGCATGACGTGTATGTGTAAACACGTCCTCGTTTCTTTAGCGTAGTATTACAAGATATCCAATAAATTACTCCTGAATCATCTACATTCCCCTTGCAAAGGCTGTGCTATAGTTTAGTCCTCGAAAATGGGTTCGGTTTCTCGTTGTTTCGCTTGTATTTTTTGGTGATATTAACAAGTTGGTAAAGACGGTAACTCTGAGGGTAAATTCATGCATATTTGCAAAGTCTCAACGAATGCATGTTTACAACTCAATCATGACTGTTTGGAACTTGAGGTAAACCTTCCAGGGTATCTGTGTCCAACACCGCTAGAAACCCACCATCTTAAACATTTCGGTACAAGTCCCCGTGTTTTACTTGTGCTGCTGCCCGCACTGCTTCTATTCCGTCTCTTGTTGAACTATGAGTATTTGTCTGCTGTTTTTTCCAAGACCGGGCATACAAAACCAGCAATTGCCTCCGATGTGTGAGCTTACAAAAGTTACATTGAGAAAAGTAACTCTGGCTTGGTCACTTAGCCACCTCGAATGGACATTGAGCAAAAGAAATGCGCCGAGGGGGAATCGAACCCCCGGCTCCCCGACGCTGCTTGGTGGCAACGGAGAATTTTACCACTAAACCATCGGCGCTGTTGATGGTGATCATATGTCTCTGCAGACAGATGGTTGGCGACGACACCATCGGCGACCCTCTTGTATTCTGACCGCCGCTGTTGCGTGGGTCTGATGGAGATCGAACATGGATTTGAAATCTCCTAGCGCATTTCTCTAATCGTCCACTACTCAGGAACATTGACCATAACAGAGCTAACATACCTCCAAGGGGTTGAAAGAAGGTCGAAATGCGCAAGCAACAAGTGGTGACCCAGTCCAACAAAGATATACGTATATCTCTGTGCGACAAGAAAATCATTAGCCAGCAATTTATCTAAGGAACAAGTCAGGTTGATAGCTGACACCAGTACACAAAGCCGCCAAGTACCGCTGCAATGATAACCACCCCATTCTGACCCGTAAAAACTGTAGTATTAAAACTAAACAAGGGTTCTTTTGTCTGTTTACGAAGAGAACATATGTGTGGTCACACCCGGCGCTCCGAGATATGTGGTTGGTCTCGTACCTGAAGATATGGAGTAAGGAAGCTCCAGCATTGAGCCAATCCACAGAGGAAGCCACAAGGATTTGAACTCTAGTGAGAAATTTTGAAGTTCATAGGACACTTGGAGTCGGATCAACAGATTGTCAATGCGTGTTCGACTTGTTCAAAGCAACAAGAGCAGCTCTTTGAGCCTAGCACTGCTTAACCTTATCATATGAGATTCTGCTTGACTGTTACACGAATAATATTGAGAAGGGGAGCCACATTTGAGACTTGTGTCTTTTGGAAACGCTTAAAGTAAGCTTAAAGTCATTTTTTCATATCTTGGCAACGCTATGTACAGTAGTTTTTAGGGTGTGATCCTAATGCATTTCCGAGTCCAGCCATACGGTCGGTCTAGTAAGGAGAGCGGATATGGACTCTCATGTTGCCGTTGCCCCAGGCGTTGTTAGATCCATAGACGAGGCTGCCACGGGTGCAGGCGTCCATGATGGCACCAGCAGACCGGGCAACGTTGCCGCACAAGCTAGAGGTATCCCTGGGAGGGTTGGAACCGAAAGCTACACCAGTGATTTGAGCTTGGCCGCGTCTGCAAAAGATGTGCCGCTGACAATTGCTTTGCATTGTACGTTGGAGCGGGCGGCAATGAAATCAATGCACCAAACGGCGTCGGCAACCTTGGCGTTGGATATTAGCAAGAGCATTTCATAAGTCATCTGGACCCGTGTGGATAACCAAGGGGAATAGGTCGTTCAATCACATACCGAGGCAGCTTGACTATTGTCGTTGAAAACACAGCTAACATCAGCTTGACGCTTCTCAAGGCCGTCTAGACGAGCGGAATGTTAGCATCCTATTCGATTCTCAAAAATGCTGCTGCCAGCAACAAGCTCTATTACATACCGGTGGATGTCTGGTTGAAGGCGAGGGCAAGAGCCTCCTCGGGGGAAGGGTGCTGGCCATTGGGGTTGGCCATGATGTCCTCAGCCCACTTCTCAAAGGAGAAGGGCACGGCTTCCTGCTCGGCAGCTCTCACGGCGACATTGGCCTCGGTGGCAGTAGGGGCAGCAGCGATGAGGGGGATAATGGCCAAGAGGCCAGCAGCGCGGATAAAGTTGACCATTTTGAGGGATGTTGGATGTTGGGCGCTGGATATTGGATATTGAATGAGGAAGTCAAGTTGAGAGGATGGAGAGAAGTAGTGCTGATCTGAGGAGGAAAATAAGACTTGCTTCTGTGGGAGAGAGCTTTATATAGACCAAGATGCCGACTTTGACATGTCTGTTTGAAAATATTGCAACCAAGTTTTGGTGTTGAATGCCAAGCTTGCTACCAGTGGCGGCCTAGACATTCTTTGCCCATAAACAACCCTGCGTGCGTCGAAAAGAGCATGCGATCTGGTGTTCCTGCCGCAGGCACCCTTATTTCCAGGAATTGAATCCTCATGATGGGGCTGGGACTACCTCTCCAAGCGATTAACTAGTAGTTGAGCTACTGTGAGTGGATGTCCAGCATAGCTGCGTGGATATCCTCTTCCTATCCATGGATGCTGGTGGGTGAGGAATCCGAGATGGCGGGACTTGGTATCCACTACGATCTGACCAGCTGGAATACAAAAGTTTGTTCAATGATGCTCTGGATGATATAACCGTCGATATAAGACCGAAAAAGGGTTATTATACGCTCTCTTGTGTACATAGTTATAGAACGGCAAATCGACTAGATTGTAGGTAGTTTGTAGTCCGGTCAGTGTCAATCGCCAACTATGTTCATCGGAGCTCTCAGCACAATCAGCAACGAGAAACGGATGCGGAAACTCCTGGCAAATCTCCAATTGTTTCCTTCAAGGCTACCATCAAAGGTGGCAGTTTACAGGTCGACTCAAGCTAAGCCATCGTCTTGGGCGAGTTGATAAATGGGGATTCTGCAACTAAATTTGGGCCAAGTGGCCTAGGCAGCCGTACAAGGCGATTGCCGCAGGTTTCCGATAGGCCCGTTCGGGTTGAAAAGATTAAGTTGAACGGGTCCCCGCTCTACCCGGCGGCGGTGTATTATCGCTGACTCGTATAACAAGGTTTCCAGGAACACTACTCTTCAAAGTCCGGGGTGAAATCTATCAAAATTGTATGATGCTCGCTTTTCCCCTCTTATTGAAAAAGCCGTTAAAATATTACAAGCAAAGGAGAGCATCTTTGTGGTGAAGACTCCAATCCTCCGGCTGTGCTGTGCATGGCTGCTTGCAGGGAGCGAGCAGGGGCGCAGGGTTGATGACCCACGCATGGTAGGTATTGTGTACAAAGGACCGGCAGAACAAGAATTCTGCCCACATGTTTTTTGACTGGCCCAAAGTGATAACACCATTTGTAGCTTGGCATGATGGAAATATTGGAGGCACAGGGAAGTGGATGGGAGTTCGATATAGCGTGGTTGATCAACTCAGACACAGCTGACGAACGACGCACATGAAAATCTCTAAAGAATCCGCGCATAGCTGGAAGCGCAAGAGGCCAGCATATCGCTGTCAAAATATGACAATTAGTTCGCAGTGTCACTCGAAAAGAATCGATAAATGCGTAAGTCCATTATTTCAATTCTTGAAACTCCTCAGGACCCAAGTGGGTACATATCCAGAAATGAGAACCCAGGTGTTTCCACCCCCGTCTTCACAAAGCAAGCAGACTTCAAGTCCAGCGCAATTCGCCCGCTCATACATCCCATCTTTATTCCTTCACTCGAATCGTATTTCGAATTCAAGAGGCGTGCTTGGTAACCAAAATCTGCCTAGTCGGTTCGCCTGGCCAGTGAGGCGACCAATGAGCAACCTTCGTAATGTTTCCCACATGCGTTCGCGGCCTATCAATTCCGCGATGCTACAGAGGAATACCAACGAGGCAATTTTATCTGCTGACATGTAATGTGAGCATCTGAGAACTACCCCGCACAAGACATTATCTACATTTGACCCTTGAATTCCTCTTCACTCATCCTCCGCGTACACCGGCGTTCTCCAGCCACCTTGTATCTGTCCCCTCTTGCCCAACTTCCGAGCGAGGCAGGCCATCTTCATAAGCTTTAGATCTTCTCTATAGCCCTTTTGCAAACTAAACAGCTATATACACTAGCCACTCTCTTTGAGATCATTCATGGATCCGCTATCGGCAGCTAGCGGCGTTGCCGGCCTCTTGTCTCTGGGCATCACAATTTGCAAAGGCCTCCACGTCTACTGCCGAGACTATCAGTCGAAAGACGACGACATACGTCTTCTTAGTCAGGACGCAGAGAGACTCGAATCCTTCCTACAAATGCTAGACATACGACTAAAATCAGGGAGTCAGATCGACTTGACGCTCAAGAATGCTCTGGATGAGTGCTACAGTGCCTGCAATTTATGCATGCAAGACTTTAAAGTTCTGAGCACAAAGTATTCTCGACCTCAAACAATCCAAGGTCTTAAGCAGCACGGGAAGGCTGCTGTACGGCATTTGCAATATCCTTTCCAAAAGGATAGATTTGACGTTCTCAAGGCTCAGATGCAAGAATTCCACATAGCTTTGTCAAGTTGTTTACTATTACTGAACCGGTAAGCCATCAGAGAGAAGGGAAATTTGGGGGAAGAGATACTTATTGAGTGGACAGCGACTTAACGAGCGAAGTTCTTCAGACGATGATCTCTGAGTCTACCAAACTTGCTTCGGCTATTCTACTACAAGGGCAAAAGACAACAGATCAGATTTCCGCTTTGCTCCCAGCGATGGAGCAGGCTATCAACAGCAGATTAGCAAGTTTCGAGCAGTCGTTACACGCACGTCTTGGAGGCATTGAAAGATCCGACATGTACAATCTGTGCAGTCAAGAACAGGAGGCTATACCGAGTGTTGCTACCGTTGATGTATCTACCATATCGCACACCAACTATAACCAGAACGTACCATATCAGCAGCCTCACTCAACAATGATCTCGTCGAGTACCCAATTTTCAACAGACGAAACCTTTGGACAACTGGAGATGACACAAATGCCCCATAGACCAAGTCGAAAGCAATATAATGCCACGAAAGCAATAACGTTATCCCAGTTCGCCTGCAGATGTAAGCGTGTCGTGCGGCACCCTCAGACTGGATACAGAGGGTTCGATGGTTTCTGCCACAAAGAAGCGTGCCCACTGTATCATTTCAATCAGCGAAACAGAACAATTGAGGGAAAAATTAAGGTATTCAGCCGCCTTTTTCGCTGGAAAATCGGTATTCGGTACTCTCACTTTATCTTTACGAGAGACTTGCAGATCCAGCCCAACTTCACATTACGTACGATCATCAAAGACAACAGTCCAGCTGTGGAGTTATTAAGATCATTACAATGGTTTTTTTTACAAAATGATACGCCAACTGAGAATCAAGTAGAGGGGCAATTATGTTCTGTATTGGCAGCTTTACAAAAGCTATTTACTGAAGGGGAGGCGTGGCCGACAGACATCACGGCGTCTGGCGATAATTATCTCCAGGTTAGTCGATGCCATGGTAACTCCATTCAGTATCCTGATGGTAAACTGTAGGTGGCTCCTATCTGGTTCTATGCCCGTTCCGAGAAGACGGCATCTATGCTCGTCCAATACTTCAAAGTGTTGGTATCCATGGGCGTACCACTTAACGACATTGATTATAGATTCTGGTATGCTCTCAATGATCAAACTATTGCGCAAGCCCTGCTAAACTGTTTAAGTACTCTACTAGATGGAATTTTGATCTTCAGCACCAGAGAGTGGCTACTCTCAGGTGCTAGACGGCAGCTTGACGGCTTTGTAAAGGCAGCATCCTATATGACCAAGGAGTTGGTGAAAATAGGAGCCTCCTGCTCACAAATTTCAAGTAGACATGACATAACTTTTGCTCCAGATTTGGGTGGGGTGTTTACCATCCCGAGAATTTATCAAGACCATGCAGTCTTGCTCGAAAGTATGTATCTGAACTTAGTCGTGCCAAGTCGTATTAGTGACTCATTCCCGACACCCAAAAGCACTCGATTATGGAGAACTATCTCATGCATTATTCAGGAAGTCAGAGAGCGATGTCTGTCGACTACTTGACGCATCCCCAGATCATATGTTTGAAACGGGACGCTATGGCCAGACACCACTTCATGTCGCAATTTTCTGGCCAAGAGGCTTGGAGCTTCTTTTCGAACTGGCAGAAGATGCATGCCATGATATCATTGACGCGTTGGATTCAACTGAAACGTCGGCCATCACATATGCTATCACTTTGCAACAGGCAGAATCCGTGACGATCTTGCTGAAAAAGCATGCAACCATCGATCTTGAAAACACTGCCTGTTTCTTCGGTCATAAATTCTCCAATTATCTCAATGCTCAAAGTCGGGAGGTTTGTGAAGTCTTGAGCAAAGAACTCGCAAAGCGCAGGACAGAGATGCTGCATTACGCTCTTGAGCATCTACCGGAAAAGCAAGCAACGAGGCTTGGTCTCGCAAACATGGCGATGCTACAAGAAAATGCTTTTGACGTCGTCACAGAACTAAAGAACTATGGGGTCCCGATCCCTCGACAGTATAAACTCATACGTCGGGGTTCGATTTACCATACCGCCTTCATGTCAGTCAACCTAGCTGAAGCTCTATTCGAATCGGGTTTTACAAACATCGATTCAATCGTGGATGGATACACTCCTTTGATGGTATTTCCATTACTTTTGACTTTTGGTACTGGCAAGACGGCTACATCAGACCTCATCGCGTGGTTCGATAAAAAGCAAGCAGACGTCAAGATCCCCATTCCAATCGAAGCTCGTATACAGGCTTCATGTATACAAGCTCCAGAATACCGGGTTATACATCGCCTTTCTTATATGTTAGGACTCGAAACAGGAGTAACATCTTTATCTGGGTTGCATTTCTCTTTGCAAGTGCGAAAGCTTTTTTCTGTTTCGTCGAAAGATCCCTGTTTGTGCTATTGCGCACCTGAAGGCTGCAACTCAGCCTCGTTGTTCGCAAGGGGTTGGTTATGGTATCCTGAATCAGAATATGGTTTTGGTACAAAGCGCTTAGTTGAGTGGAACGAAAAAAGTCTACATGAAATGTCTTATCAAGGGCTTGGTACAAAATGTGCCTTTGTTCGAGTTTGCACGTTTTCTCGGCTCGGCATGCATCATACCTGCTGCGTGCATAGAATACACGACCAGGGCACTATATTGCGTGAAAGAGGGAGATTCGCTAAGCTGATTTCCATAATGGAAACAGAGGAAGTAGCTGAGATAAGGAATGAGGACCGGTACTTGGCAGTGACCTTGGAGAAACTCATGGAAGAGTTCAGCTCCAAGCTGCGAAATGACACATTATCTTTTCTAGAATTTATGAAATTCTGGAATAACAGAATGTGCGAGTTTGAGTCAGAAAAAGAGCAGATTGCTGCAGAGGACCTCCAAACTATGTTGGACATTGGCGTTCGTTTCGACAACATCTAAATCATCCGATGTTACACATTCGTTCACTTTAGACTTTTGACAACCGGGGGTTAAGCATAGACACCTCGAATAGCACAACACGGCGAGACTTTCCTAGCAAGGAGCATCTCCACATACCGTTGCAGAACCCTCTAATAGAGTTCATTCGTAACTTCGCATGATAGACACCAACCACGTTCATCATGCAGTCACAGCCACGAACTCCCGCCCTAAAATAGGCGGAGTCTCCGGGAAACCTGCAACTTGACAACCCTTCAAAATCGACCTCAACAAAGACAAACCACAATGGTCGCGGTAAATCTCACACTGCCTCTCCTGGCAGCTCTGGCAGCATCCCCAGGGCGTCTCGGAATCGTGTGTGCGCGCTTTAAAGAATCTCTCGAGCCATGGGCGCCCGTCGCGAACAACACGTACATGTACGCCAAGGGCTCCGTCCCGCAGACGAACGACAGCGTCCCGCACTCGGCGTTCCGCTCGTATATCCCCCTCAGGAACATCGGACGGGAGGGCCACACGCACCTGTACCACATTGTGCAGAACTACGACACGCTCGACGAGGTCATGGTCTTTTCGCAGGCCGATCCCTTTGATCTCCTCGCGCCGGCCGTCAACACGACGGAGCAGATGGTGCAGAGGGCGATGCAGGTGGAGGAGAGGGACGTCACGCCGTTCAACGCGGCGTTGTTCCACGACCTGGCGGATTGGGAGCAGATCGATTGGAACAGTTCCAAGCAGGCGCTGTGGATCAAGCCGAGCCAGATCAAGACGTTGCAGCTCGCGCCGTATACCCCGGCGCAGTTCTGGACGAGGGTGATGGGGGGACAGCACCCGCCCGCCATCCGAGCGATGCACGGGGGTATTTTTGCCGTTAAACGCGAGACGATATGGAGTTTGCCGAGGACAGTTTATCAGAATGCGCTGGATGAGTTCGAAAAGGCGAATTCGAGTAACCCTGAGATAGGATTTTTCATGGAGCGAATGTGGGCGCCGATGTTCTCGCAGAAATATAGATTGAACTCGGTGCAAATTCCGTAATAGCGGGTGGGATAAATGTCCACAGCAGCACACTTATCTCTGGACAAAAAAGACATAGACCATTTAGGTATTTAATTGATCTTAATGACAAAAGAATAATCAAAGTCACAAAATGCAAAAGAGAAACTCCTCGACGGGGAATTGAACCCCGGTCCCCGGCGTGACAAGCCGATATCCTCACCACTAGACTATCGAGGATTGGTATTTGTTGAAGGGTTTGCCACTTTTGGAAAACAAGTACCCACAACACTCAGTGCGTGGCTTGCGCTACTGGCAGTGCTCACAAGTCCTTGCACTAGCTCACAACGATTCAATTCATCGTCCGTCTACTCCTATATAGATGTTGCTATATTGTACCAAGATTTGCCGCCGTTTGTGGAAATAACATCTGCTCTCCTCGTTTGCAGCCATAACGCCGAAACATCCAGCCTTATTCGCCCTGTCTAAACCGGCAACGCTCCCGTTCATGCGTATCCCGATACCACCTCGTTGTCAAAACCTTCGTGCAGGGCTCATTTCTGCACTGGTACTTTTGACGTTTCTCACGGTTAAACGCACAGCCCTCCCTAATATGCTTATTGCGATTGCTGACACTGGAGAAAGTCTTGGTGCACTGCGGCGTCGGGCACGGGAGCCTGGTTCCTCTTGCAGGGTGGTCGCGTGAGGGAGGTCTTGAGGTCGTCGAACACATGCTGCTTTAATGACTGTAAGTATTCGTAACATACCCCCGCGACATATCGTGAAGGCTTACCTGACGCTGGATGAAGAGACATTGCGACGTAGCCCTAATGTGCTCAGCGACGAGAAGCTGCTAACCGGTGTCAAGGCCGCGTCAGATCCTTGACCACGCAATGGTGATACGAGAGAAGAAAGCTCCGATTGCAGTGAATCTAGCTTTGATGCGATCGATACATCGTGCATCGCGAGGTAATCCGCCAAGAGAGTACAGGAACGATTGTATCCGGGGAGCGTCCCGGCGACTGTCTGAAACACGCGGCTCATGGAGCCATGGAGACCTGATGATGTTAATTTTTGTGATTTTGTCCTGCGGGAACATGGCTTACCAATCATGAAGGATAGAACGATGGAAAATGCCACCGAGGCCAACAACATCATCGTGGATGAAAGCGCGTCCTCCCAGCTGTTGGGCAGTGAAGGCGGCGTGTTTGACTGGCCTCTCGTATCCTCGAAACGGTCCATGTGGACGAAATCCGCCCACAAAAAGTCGTCTCGCTGAGTGGATGAGCTTGCATAAGAATCTAGCCGTGTTGGCGAGCGGCCCGGAATCGCTTGACCCTGGGTGGCGGCCTGGGGAGTCTCGTGTGTCTCGAACTCTCTCTGGATAGCGCTGAGTCTACTACCTGACGCAGAACTACGGGACGGGACAGATTCCTTGCGCTTTTCGAGTGACAGCAGATTTTGCACCAGTTCTTGGAAGTGAGGTAGGTTGACGACGTCGAGGTCGGACGTGGTGTCGCCCGACGGGGTGAATGCCCACATTCCAAAGGCTAGCTCGTCGAACAGTAAACGAGATGAACTGGGTAACACTGAGCGCCATCGATCAAGGTCGTTGTAAAATCTGTTTTGGCATCAGTATGTATGTCTTGAGACTCTATTCAGAAGACAACAACTCTGCAGACAACAATGACGGGAGAGTGCCGACTTACTGGATGAGAATAGAGCTATCGTTTTTGAAAAGCGACAGACATATGGCATTTGCCACGAGAAGAGAATCGACTGCCTCGACGAGAGCTGAAGGTGGATTATCCTGCATCAGGCCGCGGAAAACACCAAGGCCACGAGCCCACACACCATTAGCGTAGAGATATTCGTTACCAAGGTCTTGTAGCTCATCGTGCACCGAGGAATTGCATATGTCGCGTAGCTGTGAGCATAGGTTGTGCATACATGTGACGAGGTCCCGCCCCAGGAGGTGACGACGCCGCCGAGAACCTTTCGGCTGTATTGATTCCTTCGGCAGGCTCTTCGCTGGGCGTTGAAGCGACTTGCTTATGGAAACTACAGATTTCATATTAACATCGAGGGGTTGGACACACTCCTGGGTGGACGCATCGGATTCGGTCCTGTTTAGGCCTATCTGAATCATATCGAACGGTTGTGGGTCAGCAATGTTGAGATCGGCGAGAGAATTGGCTGTTTCCTCAGCCAGCAATGTCACCGGAGGATCAGTGACACCAGAGGAAAGGAGTATCTGCATGATTTCTGTATCATTGTTGAATAGAGCAATGACAGCAGCCTCTTGCGCACCCTCGGCCAAAACGTTGTGTCGTAATATTAGACGGGTAATCTCAGGCTGGCCCCAGAATGCAGCAGCGGAAAGGGGCGTGAGGACGATGCCGCCGGCGGCCTCATCACTCTGGTAGACGCCCATAAAGGTAGCGCCCTTCTGCATGAAGCTCTCAACCTGTTCCAAATGACCAAGTCTAATGGCCATGTGAAGGGGATCATGGGAAATGTCTGAAAGCCAGTGCTCACTCTGATTTTCAGACCTGTCTCTTGTCCTTGATGCGAGATCTAGCACATAACGATAGATATCCAGTCGGCCTTGGTCCAGTAGCTGCAGCAACAAATCAGGGCTTGTCTGCCATTCGATCTCACCAGAGCGGACGACAGGCTCGCAGAGTTCGTGGAGACCAGCAAGGTCGCCAGAGAGAGCAACTTCGGTGAACCTAGACTTCAGCGCATCAATGTACGCGTCGTCTACTATGTCGGGTACCAGACCGAGGGAAAAGCAGGAATCCAGATCGTCCAGGCCGGCTTCGATGCTTCGTTGATGCATATCATGTAGTTGGGGAAGAGTAAGAAGGCCCTGGGATCGATAGAACTCTACGCCAATGCCGGCATAAAGGGCCCGGTCCAACAGCAGGTCGCGGATGAGTAGCCGTAGTTCGATAGTCGTCGGGTGAGATGGCGATATAGACTCGAGGTGTTGGAGGTGGGATTTGAGGGTGGAATAGTTGACCGTGATAGAGGGGAAGTCAAAGGGAGACGGGATGGCAATTGCAAGCGTCTGTAACAGTGATAGGCTGTGTACTTCGATTTCTATGGTCTTTGTTTGGCGGCATTTTGAAAGGGTAAATGCTGGTTGGTGGTTCGGGGAAGAGTAGACAGACAGGTAGATACCTGACCCAGGCGAGACGGCCTTGAAGACCTCACCGCTGTAGCCATGTGAGTTGTTAGTGGTGGTAGGCTGTTGGGGTGCCAGAAGCAACAGTTCAAGTCTTGGCTGGTAGTTAGGCGATCACTTGTGCGATCTCGGCCAGTTGCTGCTACAGCCATGCGTAACACAGGCCCTCTCCTTTAGGATTCCCAATAATTTGGGGACTTTAGATTACATACTGGGCCCTCTTAAGCCATGTAGTGAGATAAACAATGGGCGTACCTTTCGAAGACCTCGTTATAAGCGAAACAAGGAACATCGTTGATGAAGCCTTGCTTTCTCGAGGCAGCACTTGTACTGAGACTATTTGTGGTCCATGGAATAAAAGTTGACTGTGACTTGAGGTTCTCATCGATATCTGCGAGACGCAGCTTCATGCCGAGAGATGACAATGAAGCCATCTCGGAGGCTTATGGTGGCATTGGTGGTTATGGCCCGGATAGGTGAGGGTTACAAGGAGTACGATATAACGCACAGCACCCTAACGGATGAAAGGTAAGTGCATACCATAAAAGAAACCGAAATTAGAATCAAGATGCACAAAATAATAAGAAAACGCCGGGAGATGGATTGAAAAGGATGCCTGGGGGTCGTCCGGGCTGAGGCTGACGAAAGGGGCCGGAAGGTGGGGCATCGAGAATTAGGAATCGGTAGGCAGGTCACGCGGGGACGGCTTAGGTCATTTTGGGGGCTCGGTATGCATCGGTATGCGCTGAGAGGAAACGTGACATGGCACATATAAGCGGCAGTGCAGAATGAGACCGGTTAATTGATGATTTTGGACGGAAATATAGATTTCATTCCCGGATGCGACCATGAAACGAATTGGCTGCATGACTTTGACAAGTTGACTCACAGGTTAGGAACCGTCGGTCTTATGGTGTGTGGGCTTTGACATGTATTATGATGAGTTTAGTAAGGTCATGTGCTCTTTCATGCAGATCTAATAGAATATTCTTGAATGAAAAGTGAGCGAAACAGATTTACAAAAATCTTAGGTGGAAAATGAAGCGCGAGTATGAACATGCAGTGAAATGAGGTGAGTTGAATGATGAGGATGAAGCAATTGTTAAAGATATCGCGAAAGTGGGGTTATTACCGTGCTTATCACCATGGTCTCACGGTACGTAGAACTGTCTCCACTAATCTGATTTACACGTCTTTTCATTGGTCGACACCACTTAATTGAATATCCCCACGACGCGACCAGACGCGTCTCCTGGCGCCGTCACCACCCAGCAACATTTCTTCCTCACCAAGTCCACCAAATCCACAAGCCTTCAACTCACATGTACAATTAATGCCAAAATGTTGCGACAAGACTACAACAGGATCGACCCTAAGCGGCGCAATGTCGTCGACCACCGCAAGAAGCAGTTCGCTTCACCCGCCTATAAAGAAATCGAGTACCCCCACCGCCTAAACTTCTATGCCGACGCGCCCACCGCCGATATCACATTGGAGCAGTTTGAGCAATGGGCTATCGATCGCCTGAGGAGTGCGTATTTATGTTGATATGCTGCGTCTTCATCACTGACACGTCCAGTCCTTGCCGAACTGGAAGCCTGCGCCTTCCGCAACAAATCCCCCCAAGAGATCGCAACCCACATGAAGCCGCTGCTCGATAAATACCTGCCCCTCGAATCGAACAGCTCTCACTCGCCGAAGCTCTTTGCCCAGCGTCAAAAAGACCACTACAGCCATTTCATTCTTCGTCTGGCCTTTGCCCGGACAGAGGATCTGCGCCGCCGTTTTGTCCGCGTCGAGACCATGCTCTTCCGTCTACGACTGAACAGCGATGATCTGAGCGAGCGGGCCGCCTTCATTAGCAGCCTTGATCTCGACTGGTGGGAGACGGTCACAGAAGACGAGAAGCGCGAGTATGCGGCAGAGCTGGCCTCCATGTCGCGTCCATGGGGCAAAAACGCAATGGAGGACGACAACTGGTTCAAGGTCGACTGGGACCGTGTGCCGGAGTTGGTGGAACAGCGCAAGGTGTTCTTGAAGGCAGGCAAGGCGTTTGTACCCGGAAGGGAACAGGCCAGCATGGTTGTTGGCGAGTTTGTCTCAAGGTTAGAACGACAACTTGAGGTAAGCATCCCATCTAGATACACAACGAACTGTAACTGACGATGAATAGCTCACGGCTCGCGCACTCCCCCGCCTCGACGAGGACGATCGCCTCACACCGATCCTCGACCATCTCTCCAAGAACTTCATCACACCAGACAGCTCCTACAGCTCCAACACGGGCGCCCCTGTCGGTGCCGAGATCACCGCTCGCAACATTGACAACCTCGCCCAGCACTTCCCGGCATGCATGTCGCACCTCCACCGCTCCCTACGTCGGGATGCCCACTTGAAGCACTACGGCCGTCTGCAGTACTCCCTGTTCCTCAAGGGCATCGGCTTGAACCTCGAGGAGTGTTTGGTGTTCTGGCGCCAGAGCTTCCGCAACATCACCGACGACACCTTCAACAAAGAGTACCGGTACAACATCCGCCACGTCTACGGCGACGTCGGAGGCGACTCCAACCGCCGCGGCGGTGGATACAGCCCGTTCAGCTGTCAAAAGATCTTAACCGAGCACCCGCCCGGTCCGGGCGAGGCCCACGGATGCCCGTACCGCCACTTCAACCTGGAGAACCTTACGGCCCTGGTGCAGGCAATGGGCGTGAGCGATCGGGCTACGCTCAACGGAGTCAGGGAAGACAAGGAGAACCAAAAGTTTCACATGGCGTGTAATCGGTATGTACTGCCCCAATTCACCTCAGCCAGCCTCAGCTTTTTTTTTTCTTCTCTATACTGACATTCCTCCCAGCGTGTTCGAGCACTTGCACAAGCAGGAACTCAAAAAGGCCAAGGACGAGGGCGTCTTCACGTCTGCACAACTCGAGACCATCGTGCACCCCAACGAATACTTCAAGCGTAGTTACCTTCTCAAGAACCTCAACAAGGCGGCGGACGTCAAGATGGAGGGGTGAACGCAGTAGGCATCTGTTGCGAAAGTCACGAGACAGGATAAGGCCTAGAATGGGCAGTTGCTCCGAGGAAGCCTCACAAGGCTTTCCCCCGAAGCTTGAATAGGCTCCGTAAGGGCTCCGTGACAACCAGCACAGAGCCGAGCGGGCTGAATGTTTGGCCCGAGGTAACGAAGAGCGGCTTGATGACAGGGCGGGTTCTATGACGGTCTGGACCATTTCCATTGATTTTACATTTTTCATTTCACCCAGGGAGGCGTTGGATAAAATTGGAGGGGGGCAAACGTTTCTCGCGGCATTACCTTGTCAAGTAACAGCAGCACGGTCTCATACCACGGACCATGAGTATAAATCGGCGTTCGGGACGAGGAGGAGGAGGGGTGTATGCGCAATAATACTTTTTTACTACTACCATTTACATACATATGTTATGCGAAGAAGGACAAGACGAAGAAGGTCGGGACTGTGCGTTTAGTCTTTACGTTTCCCCGAGCAGGAAAAAAAAAAAAAAAAGAAAGAATTCTTAAAGTCCTTTTGACACTTTCCACGTGCTCGTGTCTTGTTTCACATCAAAGCATCCGATCTTGTAGCCGTCTGCTTCGGAAGCGGACTCAGGTCTGGGCTCCCGTCGGCAGAACAAAGAACGAGAGGAGGCAGCCAAGATCGATCGGTGGATCGGTCCCAAGAAGCCTCTTGTAATGGAAACCAATTTTCAAACCCTCGGCTTCGACAGTTGGGGTTTCATCCTGTTTAAACTGAACGAACGGACGGACTGGGCCGCGGCACTGGAGGGATGGATGGGCGAGTGACGGGGGGGGCCGTTTTATTGGTTTTGCTGCCCACTGACGGCTCTGTCACCAGTTTCTTTCTTTGTGGCGGCGCATCGAGAACCCGAATCCCTGACGGCCATCCAGCCCTGTCTGATTTGCGAGGCAGCTTGTATCATCCACACGGCCGGCACTTTGAGGATACGGATGGGGCTGGGTAAGGGGAGGAGGTGGACAGGGTGTTCGGCAGGTGATGCGGGCTTGGTGATGGGATCACACGGGAACCTCGGACGTTTCCAGGGGGCCGTGGTCACGCCGAGTGACCGCGGTTCAAATCTTACCAGGGTTGCGCGGAGAAGCGAGAGCGAAAAAACTCCGCGGCTCAACGGTGATACGTGTTTCTGGGATGTTCAGCTGTTTACCCTTGAAGCCTCAAACCTCAAGGTTCCTGTGGTTGCTGGCACACTCTGGAATGACACGTATTAACGCCCCCGCCAGTCGAATGACCAGCATACGAGTTCAGCTGGGCGGTATGAGTCAACTGATTAGAAAGTAAATGAGCTGATATGGCGTTCACAAGTGGAATTGCCTCAATGTCTTTTGTACATAAAAAAAAAAAAAAAAAAAAAGTAAAGTGTCTGGGCCCCAGAGGGCATTCACATCTCGTTCAAGCCGTGGAGTTCCAGGCCTCCCTCTGCCCCAACAACAGAACAATAGTGTTGGTGTTTTTTTTTTTGCAGGCATTGTGGATGAGAGAGAGCCCGCGCGGACCTCTAATGTCACGTTGAGCGTAGAATGAGTTTAATTAGCACAGGCCCCTCTAGAACCTTTTGGCTTTTGGGGGTGTGTGTGAAGTGCGAAGATGCTCTGGGCAGTGGAAGAACCTAGCAACTGAAAGAAACGGAAACAAAAAGAGATTGAACTGAAAAAACGAAGCTTCTGGTGTTGCATCGGTCAGCCAGAGCGTATGAGATGTATGTTGGTGCCGACCGGTCTAGACCACCGTCAACTTTGTCGGGCCAAGCTTGGGTATGGAACACGGGCCAGAACGGCGGTCTAGACCAACTGCCTGTCGAACCGTTGCCTTGATTGCCCAGAGTTCCAGGGGTGGTAGTAGACTCTGCCATGAAAAGGAAAAATGAAGAAGTATGCTTGGGGGTGAGCGGTAACGGGACCAGCTAGAGAATCCTTATCGTTCCGGAGGTGCCTCAAAGTGTCTGTTTCTAGCCTCGGAATGCAGTCACTACGGATGTAGTAGTATTACTACAGTAGCTAACGAGCTTTCTCTTGTGGAGCTGAAGAAGCTGAGGCTCCGGCCCGATGTTTGTTGTCCTACGGCCGTGTGTGAAGTGTGAAGGATATGTTTCCCTTGCGCTTTGTAACAATTCTAGGGTCCTCTGGACTATAGATCTAGACCTTGGTGGTGTACTTCTAACGGGCTGGACCATCCATCTCCGTCTATTCATGATGCCGGGGGCCCCATTCCATGAATATGCAACAACCAAACACACGCCTACGCTCCTCCGAACCAGTGGCACAGAAAAGGGAGCTATCGTGACCCTGTTTCTGTTCCCCCCGTCCTCCGTTTCCGTGTTCATAGAAACCCAACCGAAATGGGGGTGGACCATCATGGAACCGAACTGGCCCGCGCCGCAAACTGTACAACTCACCTCGCACTATACTGGTCAAACGGGGGGGTTTGTACTAACCAACCATGGGCTGGACGGGCGACCAGCCGAAGACGGGGGGAAACGGAATTTCGCGCGATGCTCTGTAACGGTACCACTGATGCACGATGACCTCAGTCCTCATCTTTGTTTATGCTGTACGCGCTACCGGCCTTGACTTTTTACCTCACCTACATGAAGGAATAACCATCCCATTCTCAGACGTCGAGGGCGAACCACACACCCCCAGTCAGTCCACCCTGTATTTTGACCTTGCAGACGCCAACTACAATTTCACAAAATAGCAACATCAGACACGCTAGATATGTAAGGTAGGCAGGTAAGCTGCTTTAGCTCGGGGGGCAGGGCACGTCGGAAGAACTTGATCTCAAGCCCGCTTTCTCACGCAAGCCTACGACGTATGTAGGACAAGATACGACACGATTAAGACCGTTGACCTCACCAACAGGTCTCAGGGTCCCCCTCCATCCCTTCATCATCAGCATCATCTTGACCTCAAAAAGGGAATTAGACAAAACAATACACACACACACACACACACACAAAAAAAAACACCCTGCCGAACGACCCTTGACCCCTTTGCGCATAGATCGTCATCATCAACTGAGACCATTCTTATCTGGGATAAACTACCCTGGCCCGCCCGGGGAGGGGGTTGTAAGAGACGCACACTCCCTCCCTTACCCTTTTCAAAACTGCCTCTCTGCCTTGGTCCTCAACCTCACGATGGCCCCCCTTTGCAAATATCTCGCGCAACGCACACACTACACCACAGCGTCAATTGGGGGGCCCAGCAGAAAAAAAATGCAAAACCGGCGCGCGCCAGGCATGTCTTGCCAAACGGCGGCAGGGCGGGTAATAGGGACTGGCGGTGTCTGCATCACCTGTGTATGTGTGTTTTGCCAGATGAAAATGGGTATGACGCCAGACCGGTCCCCGGGTGACGAAATCCCGTGCCTTTAGTGCCCCAAGGTTATTAGGTGGTCCTTGTCTTTCTTTTCCGTGGCTTGGTCTATCAGACCTGTTGTCTTTGGACCCGTTGTGAGACCTATGAGCCAGGGACAGGGGGGGTGGAAGATGGTATTATTTTTTTGAGGCTAAAGCCGAAGAGACAAGTCTCTGAATAGCGGCATTTCTCCCCGATTTCACCATATCTCCTGAAAGTCCCCCCCCCCCCCATTCTTACCCAAAAAGCCTGAATGGAGACCTTGTTTGGAGGCCCGCCGCCTCATCAATCAATCTTCCTCGCATGCAGCGTAGATCCAACCTTGTGAAAAATTTTCCCATTCATGATGGGGACTCTCGGAAAAGCTTTGTAGATCACTGTCGCGCAAAACCCAACCCAACCGCGCGGGTTGGGTTTGTGACTCGGGCATGAACGGTGGCCCTTCTTGGGCACCACGCAGAGACCAGACGGACGGGCACGGTTGAACCGTCATGGATGACGGCGGGAGATTTGCATTGCGTGAGGCTATTCGCGACCGCGGCTAGCCGTCCAGCTCACTGGGTCAAAAAGTGACAGCGGCGCATCCTTGAGCCTTTCGGGCCGGCGCTAGGGCTCTTGTTTCTCACATGTGCCGAACATATGCAATCATCATGGCTCCAAATGAGGCCGTCATCACGCCGTTTCGTTCATGAGCCTCACTCATCGCTCGTCCGATTTCTTGTTTCCTCAATGCCGAGGCCCCTCCGTGCTTGAGCTTGAGTGAGGCGTTCTCTCAACGTCTGAGCAGGAAACGTTGAAACAAAAAAAAAAAACCGCCGAGTACGAGCAAGAAAACGGGTGGTGGGACGGGGCCAGGTTTCCTACCCAAGACGCCGAGATTCCTGCGTGAACCCAGTCTGGACCTTCATGCCTCCCCCCGCGAAAACAGACGCTGACGGTGACTAGTTTGAGGAGTTTACTCCGGACTCACAGTCTGTTTGGCTGACGGTATACTAATGCCGGCCCAGCGAGCTAGTGGTATGCGGAAATCTGTATACCCACCCCAAAGCCACTTTAGATCAAGGCAAGACAAGACCAAACAAGACACAGACGGGGAATGCTGGCAGCCACTCACTCCCTTCTTCCGCGATTAAAGACGCGCAAGTCTCAACGACTCTAGATGAGAAATTGAGGACTAAGACAAAGTGAAGTCAAACGCCCGCGGAGCCCATCTGTCCCGCGCCACATTTGCAATCCCGCACTAGAGAGACCAGAGGAGAAGATGGAGGGGAAATCTATGGAGGTTTACATCATTGCAGATCCGCAGGCCGCATCTAGACCGTTTCGACCGCCCACTACGTTTCGTCGCGACGGTGATGCAAGAAACCCCCAGTGACATACGTCTAGCTCCAGTGATGCGCGCGCAAGCGCACTTGGCAGAGGAAACTCAAATCGAAGCAAAACTAGCACAACCTGGGGGTGGGAACCCACGAGGTCATCATGCTCCGGCGTGATGGGGATTGACATGTTGGGCTCGACCGAGCGAGTGGACTATCATGAGCCGATGCTGAATTGAGTATGACATCTTTCTACTGCACCCAACTGAAGATCATGACAGCCGGG